TGTGTCGTAATGTTACTTAATTATACATTATTATTTCATAGCGTGGGGAATGCGTAAGCCATGTGTTGTCCACTAGAGCGTTTTGGAGTCATTTGATGGTGTATTTGATTAGTTTTGAGGGAGAGAGGGACCTGTACCGTTCACCTCCATTTCAGCGGGCAGCTCTGTCCCACCGATCTCAGAACAGCACGCACTGACAATTAAAGGTAATGTACCTACTCATATGACTATAGGGATTACGGCAATAGGCAAATTTGCCAAAAATGTTGAACTATCCCTTTAAAGTTGACTTTGTCCAGCACTTTGGTTTATGCAAAACAAATGATATCAGCCTCAGCTGCTCTTTGCATTTAGTGTAACATTTAGTAGGCCAACATGCTAAACAAAGACAGTGATTATGGTAAACATATACCTGCTAAACATCAGCATGTTAGCATTGTCACTGTGAGCATGTTAGCATCCTGATGTTAGCGTATAGCCCAAAGCCTGGCTGTGCTGAAGAACAGCCCCAAAGAGCCACTAACGGGGCTGTAGACTCTTACTTTTGTTTTATTTCATGTTCTGACATCTAATAGATGTTTGTTATTTTCATTCTTGATCTCTTTATTCATTTACAGGTACTGAAGGGATTTTAATTAAATTAATGAATTTGTGCAGACTGTTGAGAGATTTGGAGAGTACCAGAGGTCCTTTGTAAGATCATTAGGCTGGTATTAGAGGCATTATACTGTTTATATTTAAAACCAGTGGTCTACTTGTATGAGATTTTAAATGTGCAGTGTGTAGGATTTAGGGGGATTTATTGGCAGAAACTATATGTAATATTCATAACTATATCACTAGGTTATACCTACCTGAAAATAAGATTTGTTGGGTTTTCATTACCTTAGAATGAGATGATATTTCTGCATACAAAGTGGGTCCTTTTCTGCAGAGTACGCCATGTCTCTCCAGTAGACAAATCAAACACTGGCTCTAATTAGGGCCATTTACATTTTGGTCGCCACAGCTCTCCTACACACTTGGCTCATGGGAGAGGTTTCAGTTCTGCAACCTCCTCGCTAGATGCCAGAAAATCCTACACACTGGCCCTCCAAGTGAATGACTGATTCATTGATTAATATTTTTTTATTTTGTGTCATGTTTACAAACATGTGCCCAACCCTCATGGATTTACAAGACCCCATTACTATATAATTGCAGTGATCCATCCAAAATACATGTTATCTTACTGCTCAGTCTCCAGAGAGAGTACTCTGCCTTCTATATACAGAGTCTGCCTCAAAAAAAGGTTCCCCCTCTAAAACATAACTCAAATTTTCATGGTCATCCAACCAAAACAAATCATCATAAATGGGGGTCATTTTGCTGAAAAGTACAGCCCTTATGTCTTTTTGGACAGGACAGTAAAACAAAAAAATGAGCCTCATTCTCAATTTCACCTACGGTATGTTACACAGCAAACAATGTCTGTCCTCCTCTGGAGTGGCATTAAACCTACCAGTCTCTGAGGCTGATGGTAATGTCCCTGTGCACATAGGAATATTTGTCTTTAGTTTGAATTATACTTCACATAAGGTTCTACACTGAAGCTATTCTTTATGAGATACTAAGTATTTATCAGACCATTTTTTCCAAACATGAGCAACATTTTACTCCTAGTCTCCTGAATATCACAGAGTAAGCTGCTCTGGGAAATAAATAGCAAGTTGTTCAAATAAAACAAGGGTCTCATATAATTAGCCCAGGGATGACAGTGGGAGATGTCCCAGTTAAACATCTTTTTAGTGAGTCTCTGATCAGACATCTTCATAAGTCTGTTCTATTAACATTTATACCTGATGTTTGGAGGTTCCCATCCCATATCTCCACTAACGGCCAAAGCTGAGAAAATTTATGGACTCCCAAAAAGGATTGAATCACTTAATGATGCACAGTCGAACAACTTGTACATTCTCTGAAACCAGCATAGTCAGACACAAGACACACACATGAATCATAGAGTTGTGTATGAGGTTAATGGTGTGATGTTTCATTTGTACACTGGTTTTTAATATGGTGCTGGTTTAAGAAGTATGCATTTATTGATTAATATTCAAAACACATCTTTCTTTGAATTAAAAGTGTTTATGTGAGACATTAAGGAAGGAAGAAAAATAAAGAAAAATATCAACACTAATTAGTGACCATGTAGTGTCTTGCATCCTAATCACCTGTTTTGTTTTTCAATCTTTTGCAAGTTGCTGCCTGATTTTAAATGGACACAAAATGAAACCACTGACAATAAAAAAAAATTTTGAATATTGTTTTTTAAGGATGGCCTCTCTTCTGATTTGAGACTGTGGACAGACGACTCACCAGCAGCTCGGCGCTTCAGATACACTTCTGCAACACAGAGGTTAGAACACTGTGACCCTTAATTGTCTCCCTTCAATAACAGTGGAACCAAACAAAGCTCACCTCCCACATAATTCATTATGTGCAGTCCACACACGCTGTCATTGTGCTTTGAGGGTTATTGAGCGTGAGTAGGTTTGATTTTGTGCTCCAGTGATGTCATCAGGGAGCAGTGTGTCCTCTTGTTGTGTTAATTGCTGCTCAATGAAATCATGTAGATGGACTGTAGCCTTGCTTAAAGCCTCTGGGAAGAATTGGCTCCCCAGTTAATAAGCTGTCTAATATACTTTGTGCAACGAAGGGGGCTGTTTAAGAATTCAAATTAAAGCTAATAACTTTCGGGAATCAAGTTAATCAATTACACTCAAGTCACTTGGTACTGATGTTTAATGGCTGGAATATCCTGTTCGTTTGCAGGAGTTATGAGGAAGTTGGCTGGGATACTAAGTTACCCTGGCGCTTGAAGGCACCGGAAACAACCCTGGAGAATATTGTGGACCCAGTGAGTGAGCGTCCCTCATCAAGGCGCTACAATAGTCGACCTCAGCTGTGGCAGGTAAGAACAAACGGTGACAAACACTGCCAATGCTGGAGCTCAGTTGTTTTCTTTCTCCACAGCTGTGAGCACCTCAAGGTTTACACTCACCTTAAGTGATTGAAGGAAATCTGAATTTGTAATCGCTGATTACTCTGGAGAGAGGTGCTAATAGATCATGTCTGAAACAAACTATTTCATAGAGTATAGAGTATGCTGTAAGTTATTAAGCAGTGGCAGTTTTCAAGGAGGTAACTCATTATCAAGACAAATCAATCTAATTGTTTTACCTTAATGTAATTACTGTTAGAATAAAAACAAACTGTTATCGCCTTTCAAAATTAAACCACGTTTCCAATTATGAAGTGTATTTGTTTTATATTTGGTTTTAGTGAAAGAGATAAATGTGTTGGAGGAAGATTTAATACTTAACTGTCTCTTATTTCACCATGTTCAATAAATCCAGTTTAGTGCTATATTTCTTCCGTGCAGCAATGTGCCCCTTGTGCTTTAAAACAATGCAGCACATTTCCTGTCAGGTTTCATCTCTGGGCACACAGTGTAAAATGCAGCATAGAGACTGAAGGAGGCTGATAAGGGATACGTTTAGTGATATTGTATATTTTTCTTATAGCCATCAAATCCCATGAAAAGACCAAATTCAACAACGAACTGATTCTCCTTTTATCCCTGTTGTCTTATGCCACTTCAGCCGCAGAAACTTGGCTGGTGTTTTCACTGGCCTCAGTGAGCTGTGGTCCTGAATCCGCTCTGTGACTCTGGTCCTCCTCTCTGTCACTGTCAGCTGCGCTGAAGGCATTGGCTTATTATTTTGAAGCACTTGGATGCCTGTATTTTTCAGGATTCAACTTTTTCCTTATGACAGCCACACAGAACCACACTGGGGCGGTCAGCCCACTCGACTGGGACACTTCACAGCTCTCTATCTGTATCGTGTTGTGTTTGTTTTTTTTCACTGCGTTGGCCCAATTTATGTAGCACCCCACCAGAAAATATATGGGTACTCCAAAAGCAACCTTAGTAGTTGTTTATTCTTCTGTGCCATGGACTTTCATTTAAGGATAACTTTGGCATTTTTCAACCTGGACCCTATTACCCTGTGTAAATTGATCAAAGAGACTGATGTAAACAACAATTTTTGAAACTGTTCCAGTATTGAGGGAGCCGCGGAACAAGCTGCAATGGAGGCACACAGGGCAATCAAGCATCATCACTGTATGTTAATTAAAAGTGTTTATTTTTGACACAGAGCTGCTCAGATTGTTACTCTAAATGTCTTATTATATCTGTTTGCCTCGTTAATCTCTTTCTGAAATATGAGAGGTATCATGAGATGTCACCCGTTGCAGGAACAGTGGAAACCTGTGTGAGATCTGGAGAGAGTATAATAATGGGAGCAGTTTATAGAAAATGTATTGTCTAAAAGATATTCAGTGTCATGGATGATTATTTACCTGATTGACAATGTGGTTCAGGACTTTGAATTCTTTCGCTGCTGTATTTATTTGTGACAGAGTATAGGGGCTCGTACAATAACTAACATTACCATTGTCATTCATAACCAGTAGGTATCTTCTTGATGCATAGGAAGGCCAAATGTAGGCATACAATTTAATTAAAGTATATTATAGGTTGTATAATACCGAAGCATGAATGTATTTTTCCACCACGCACACACACTGTGGTAAACATAGTGTTAGCTTGTTGATTATTACTTATTTTATACTATGGATGTCAGCTGATGAAAATGGAAAATCAATCTATATAAATTTGTTATAATCAGTGCTGAATCAGTCGATATTTTAAACCTTCTAATTGTGTATTGATTGATTATCCTGCCAGGCTTTCACGTGTCACACTATGCAATGTCAACAACAGCAGCAGGTAAATCCACTCTTGGAGGAGCAGTTTTCTTCAGGAAAATAAGCTCTGGATTTCTTCTCCTCTTTGACAGTTAGTACTCATCCTGCTGGTCACTGCAGACCTGACCACCAGGACAGGAGTGTTAGGATCCATTTGTTGCACAACTAACCAAAACTTAAGCGCGTCCACATTCGACGAAGATAGTCTGTGAAAGCTGCTTGGAGTGTTGCTCCTCATTTTGTCAGCACAGGTCAAAAATGTGCAAACACAAACCACTCTATACAAAATATGCATTTTAACTCACAGCTCCCAGCTTCATGACCTTGCAGCAGCTGCCCTCCGCTGCCTTTTTTTGTCTCTCTCTCCCTCCTCCTTCACTTTTCATGTGTATACTCCAGCTCACATAAATACTGGCAGCGGTCAAATTCAAAAGCCTCATCCACATTTTTGAAATCAGGTAAATAATCATCCACGACACTGAATATATTTTAGATTACACTAAACTACATTTACTGTAAATTACTCTGATTACTCTCTCCAGAACTCACACAGGTTTCCACTGTCACTGTGTTGCTGCAACAAGTGACATCTCGTGGTATTTCAGTAAGAGACTTCTGCTCAAGGAGGCAATAACAAACAGACAGGATCAAGTGAAAGGAAAAGAGACACTGAAAACACAAAACAATCTTAGCCGCTCTGTGGCAAAAATAACCACTTTTAATGGACATACAGTGACTATGTTTGATTGCCCCGCGTGCCTCCATTGCAGCCGCTGCTGGCTCCCTCAATACTAGAACAATTTCCAAAATTGTTGTTCACATCAGTCTCTTTGATCAATTTACACGGGGCCATGGGATCCAGGTTGAAAGATGCCGAAGTTATTCTAAATTATTAAAAACACATCAATGAGCTGCAGCCTTGCACTGAGTGACATGTTCCTTCATTATGATAAACACGGGCACTGTAGTTAATTTTTAGTAAATACTACATACATCATCCTGCTACCATCACGTCATGTTCACACTACAGTAGATGCAGAATCGCCCTGATATGTTAATTGTTGCACACTCGCCCCTCAGTGTTTTGCAAGTCACAAATAAGTCACAAGTCTTTGCACTCAAGCCCTAAGTCAAGTCCAAAGTCCTAAACTTTGAGTTTCAAGTCCTAAACAAGTCATAACGCACTCTTCTATAAGAGTATATTTTGTTTATTATAGATTATCAGTGTGTTTTCTTGCCAGATTTGCTCCTGGCTCGTTGAAAAAATAGACCAGACGCCTTAACTATTACTGCAGATCGCTGCAGTGTTGAGAGACAGACTTGTTGTCTTTCCATTTGTTTAAACAAGAAAAATATATATGTAATAACCATAATTATTCTGTAATGTCTTCAAATCAATGTTGCAACAATATACTGATGATTAAAAACTGAATGTAGCACTTACGTGTGTGTTTATATAGTGAAGTGAGGCTGTATCTGGTTGTAAAGTGTCTCGATAAAGGTGCCTGATAAATTCTGCTAAAGATCTGTCCTTGCTGTCTTTTCCAAGTCTATTGGAGCTGAGTGGAACAGGCAGCAGCTTCGACGGAGGAATGATGCCAGGAAACCCATATCATTGTAAATTTCCAACAGCCAACTTTATCTTAAGAACAGTTACATTAATGGTGATCATCAGCTTTAAAGCATCTTCTCTCTCTCCTCTTTCCAGCTGCAGCGGATGTCCGAGGTCAGGTCAAATCCCTTCGTACACGTGAGTACTTCCTATTTGAGAGGCCACCGCAGGTGTCTTACACATACATGTATGTTGGTATGAGTTTATGAATCCAAATCACAGGCATGTGTCCTCAGAGCTGACCTTTATGCACATGTTCTCATGTATGTGCAGAGGTACGATTGGCTCTGAGAACATGGATAACATCGACAACATGGATGAAGACTTTCACCCGCTGACCCTGAGGAGGAGCGTCGTGCCCCAGTACGTGCCTACAGCACGGTAAGACACACTTTATGACACACACACACACATATTCACTGTGGATCTTGAGCTGTGTTAATTTAGCATGAAATTTATTTTGCACTGGAGATATTTTTTATTACACCCTGGGTGACTAAAGCAGATTCTGAAACAGATTTTTATCTTTAAAATTCCTCTCACATGGCGATATTCAACCTTCTGTAGCCAATCCTGATTATTAATGTGTAAACTTTTGATTTGTGCCAGCCGAACCACCATCCCTGGATATACAGGCAGGGCTGCTTATGCTAACTGTGCTGCTGATGCTGCAGTCTCTGTCCCAGCTGTCTCCAGTGCTGCACGCTCCTCTGGGTGAGTCTTCACAGTGACTTTTATGAAGCCACATAGGCAGCAAAGAAACCGTTACCTGACAAAAACTCAAAGCAAAGACTATTTTATTTATTGCTAGCAATTATTTTAATAAATCTGTCATCATCCTCTTTTCTTTTATGTTCTCTTGATATTCTGTTGTATCCACTGCAGAATTTTTTCTCCCAGAATTACTCATATCCTCAGCACACATAATTATTTTATGGATGTAAGACACTGGACAAGAATGATCACAAATGTCCACTGGAGGGCGTTCTAATGCACCCCACTGCCACATCATGCCTCAGGTTACATTCTGACTTCACCACACAGATGCGCTCATATTATACTGCTGTTCATTTGAAAATTAAATACAGCTCAGAGTACTTATCATTAATACCAAGACTACAGTGAGTTATATTGAGTAAATGAATAATTTAAAATATCTGATACATTTTTCAGGCAGTATTTAATTTAACAGGCACATTACGCTTGTGTAGTATGTGGTGTTTTTTAAAAAGAAAAAGAATATTCCATGTAGACTTTTTACAGAGGGTAAAACCTTCTTGCAATCACTGCAGTTCTTGCCAAGAAACATCTCGGGCTTTAATCATTGTGCTACAAGTCCCAAGAAGAAGGTGCATAACTCAGGTACAACCAAACCAATTCTGCCATATCAAGCAAAACACGTGGTCATTTTTTTATGTGTGTTTATTCGTTTGTAGAAATAGCATAAAATTAGAAAGATTAGTAATGCAGTGTTATTAGCAGATGGGCATGCACAATAAATACAGCATCAAAAAACCCCAACTTAAATAAATATTATAAATACTAAATAATAAAGGTTTTTAAAATGTTGTGCCCTTTTTGTTTGGAATTGTGTTTCAGCGTCTCTGTGTTTTAGTGCCTGTATGTATTTGACTGGCATCACGTTAAGCTTTGGGCATTTGCATCAGCTAAATGTGTATCTTATTTTTTTGGATGAGTGGGCTGGTGAGATACAAGTTAATGGTCAGTTGGCAAAGACTACAGTAATTGGAAATGTTCCGACAGAGATTAAAAAACATTGGATGTCGTTCCTGGAGACAGACAGGAGGGAAATTGGAAGTCTTGGAAAACTGGGGAGAAAATGACAAGAAGGTTAATTTGAGGGCAAAAATAACATTCTCACACAGAGGAGATCTCACAGGAGATTTCTGAATTTCTTATATGACATCAAGCGCAATGGAAAGTATTTCATTTTAGTATATTTAACGTCATTAAAAAACTGTTTAACAGTCATCTTAACTGTGATCATGTCACTTAACATGAATAAAAATGTAAGCACTGTAACACACCTCACTGTGTAGAGCAGACATCCCTCCGCTCTGGGAGTGTTGGCTGTCTGTTAAGGGGGTGTAAACCTGTTTCCTAGGTGGGCCCCAGTTGAGCGAACTTTACCGGCTTTTGGAGCAGGCATCTCCAGATGGCTGATTCCAGAGCAGCTCGTGGTAATCGTGGTTTTTCACAACCTAGATCCATTTTCCTGATGCCCGACACCCCCCTGAGATCTGTTTCCTCTGCTGATTAGGCTGGCCTCCCATATTTTTTCCCCAAAACAGAAAAGAAGACAAGCACTTGGATTGATTAACTGTCTGCTGCAACGGTCAGACGTCTTCAGGATTTCTGCTTGCCAAAGCTCACTTATTACACAAGTGCCTTTGGGTATTTTTTAAGTATCAGTCTGTAGCACTTATTTGGCACTTATTTTCACTTGATCCAAAATAAATGATAATTTACTGACTTAAAATTGTAATATTTTCACAGGACAATCAAAGATTCGGGGGGACCTACTTTTGGCCATGCAGCGCCTTTGTCTCGAATGGTGACCACAGTGACCCCCTGCAACCCCTTCCTGAGATCTGCGCTTCCTGTCACACACAGACATGCGAGGAGGCATTAGACAAAGCAGATGAGAAAGTTTTGAAGGTGTCAGCTTCCTTTTTATGCCATCCAATCTGTTTATATGAATACGTCTATAATGATGTGATGTCAGTGACTGATTCGGAGTGAGTTGGAGAATAATGAGATGCCCCATTATCATAATTTCCCTGATTTAGATGAGTGGTTTTCTAACTCTGGGTAGTGAGCTCTTGCATTGTCCTCTTAAACATTCGCTCTCTCACTGACTCACTCACTCGCTCACTTTGTGTATGTGTGTGTGTGTGTGTGCATTTCAGCCCACACACGCTGTTTCTATCATGAAGGGCAAAGAGGTGGACCAAACAGAGAAAATATTTTGGGAAGTATGGATTTTCTGCACTAATGTTGAGCATTTAACAGCATAAAAACAACAGCAGGTGTAAGAGATCCATTATGAGTCATATTTTAGTATTAACCCGAGCTGATTTGCTCAGGAAGTACATATTAAATACATTCTGCAGTCTGCATACATCATTTAGAGGCGTTAGTTTTTTGTAGATGTGACTGTACTGCGAATAGACATCATTATGAAGTGTCTGCCAGCTATAGCTATATGTCTGTGGTTTGTGCAGCTTCGCGCTTAGACAGGAAATAGGGATGAGCTGGTTTTCCTGTTTCTCTTCATCTATATTTTGTTTAGATTTACATTTCAGAGGGATTTCTACTTGAGCATGCTGTTTTTTTCATCAGGAGATAAGGTTGTGTGATCACTTGTGCTTCATAGTTCTGATCCACATCTTAAATATCTTGCATGTATTGTCATTAAAGAGGCACTTCCATTTGCACTTTGCGACAAAGTTGGGGGGGCTCACAAGAGATGGATTTACAAATAATGGTCTGAATTGAAGCAGCAGAGGCCAAGATATCCTGAGTTTTAGACACTAGTATAGGTCAGAAGTGTTGGTTCCTAACTCAAAAGCTCAAAAGTCCCTTTCATAAGACATCATCAGGATTAATGTATTAAACTCTGGAAAACACCCTTGAATGTTACAGGAGACATTGCACATCTGTTTTTTACAGGCTGTATAAGACAGTGTCAAGGTGTCTGCAGGTCTTTAAAAGGTCTTAAATTCAATTTAAGAAATATATGGCCTTGAAAGTAATTGAAATATAATTAATTTTCAGTCGGCATGGTCTTAATTGCAACAGATATTTGATCTAATTTAATTTATCTATCATTTATCCATCTTTAAATTACCCATGTTTAATGTATTTTTGTCAAAATGAATCAAGCTCTTCAGTGTGACAGCTCACACTTCTGATGTTTCAAATCTTTAAATCTACCATAGAACCTAATACTGTCTTTATATTTTATATTTGCACTTGCCTGTTACCAAAATGTAGGTTAACTTAGCTCACTCTAATAACCATATTCCTACATAAAATGGGTCCACATATACTCTACTTAGCTTTCTACTTACCCGCAATGCTTTAACAACAACAAAAATTGTCCAAAAAATAAAATTACCTTGAAAAGTTCTTGAAAAGCATTAACTTTAAGTGTTTGATACCTGTAGACACCCAGAGTGTTGGGCAAGTTAATAAAAAAAGTAATCAATTACTCATTACATATTATCCATTGAAAAAGCTATTACATTAGTTACTCACCAGTGACATCATTGTTACTTTACTTTAGTTACTCAGCACAGATGTGTCAAAGGTGCCTTTAAACAACTGGTAGTCATCTAAACTTCACATATTCTATATTTACTGTGTACAGAAATAGAAAACAAAACATTATTTTTAACAGTCTGCCCACATGTTAGAGTTACTGACCATCAACAGCTAGCCTAGTGAGCACTGTCCTCACAGCAAGGCCACAGAATTCACACATCCTCCAACTCTTAAATAACCCAGGTGACTCCCAAATGTAGGCTAATAGGCACTGTTATCAAGCCAGCCATGAACACACATTTAAATATAATAATTTTGGAGTTAGTCCCGTTTCTCCTCTTTTGAAAGACGCTAACTGTCTCTCTAAACCTCCAGGCCCTGTGTCATGCTAAGATGTCCCGAACCAGGCCAGTCTCTTCACTGTATACAGAGGGCAAACTAAAAAAAAACCCTCCATCAAACTCCTGGTAAGACAGTGCACAAGTCAACTCCCGATTTGTTTTAAGTAACTGAGCCTGACTGAGTTTAGTAAATGTAATGGAATGACTGAATTCATAATACCCATTACTGAAAAAATTATCACACTTCACTGTTCCTGCCCAAAACTGATCACAATGAATCTGAACTTCTTGTATAAAGGATTTGAAATGAATCATACCAACATACACTGTAGATTTATCCTTTCCTTTGCATCATAGTGAATCCAGTGAATCTACAGAGTGCACGCTTCCTTTTGGCCTGATATCAGCCAACAGCTCTGTTGGTGATTGACGCCTAGTAACCACCATTTAATGTGCTGGACAATCTTGACTTTAAGCCTAAATCTGGAAAGCCAGCATTCCATATAAACACATCATGAAATGATGGAGGGAGCAGACATGCTGCTATTAACTAAAGCATTTTGAATCTAATTAGTGATCATCATTTCACATGCATATGGTGATGTTTTAGACAGTTAAAGATTATGTTTGACACTTTAGAAAACACACTTGATTGCTTTTTTTAGAGAGTTAGATGAGAACATTGATATCACTCATATCAGTGTAGTAGAGATGAAGCTACAGCCAGGAAACCGTTATCTTAGCATAAAGACTGGAAATGGGGAAACGGCTAACCCGGCTGTGTCTTAAGGTAACAAAATCTGTCTAGCAGCACCTCTGAAGCTAAAAAAAATAGCACTTGTGACATCCTGTGTCCGGCTAGCTGTTTCCCCAGATATAATATAATAATACCTTATAATCAATTGTTTTATCTGACTTGCAGACAAAACTGTATTTCTCAAAACATCACTTTGTTTCTTTGAAATTGGCATTGTACCCAAGTTTATATGTTTGCTGGTGGTGTTCAGAACCAATAAAACTGTGTGAACCTTCTCAAAGCAATCATAACTCTATTTGCTAAAAGCGCCCTCCTCCTCCTCCTCCTCCTCCTCCTCCTCCTCCTCAGATTTTCCAGCCTGTGGTCTGAATCTCATCACTGGCTCCTTTTCAAAACAGGCTCACAAACATCATGATTGATTCAGCCACTATCCTCCTGGATCTCTCAATGCCTGCCTGGGCTGGAGATTAATTTCCTTTTCCTCATCTTAATTTTTACTCATCGCCGCTCCATAAAAAGGCTAAATGTCAAGCATGCCTGACTCCTTCTAGTGACACGTCTATTCCAGCAGATAATTACCATAAGGAAATAGATGCTTTAGTGTGCAGAGGGGAATTTAATTTACTCTGACATCCTCACAGCATAATGCATTCCTAAAGAAAGAGAGTTTTTCAGTTTGCAATTGACTTTTTAGATAAATTGGACTATTTAATGTGATTATCAGTCTTGAACGCCTTTGACTTATTAAGGTGTTGAAACCAATTAAGGGTTACATGCTGCTCGTGCTTCCAAATGTGAAACAGTGAATACTGCTTAAAGATCCATGAAATAAGAACCAGCCAAAGCCTATTGTTCGGTAGTCGACCGGCTACATTGCCTGATGATGTTTTGAGACTTGCCAGGTAATGATATTAATTACGGCAACATGGTTTGCTGCAGGTTGTGGATTAACCTAAAGGAGCAGAAGGTTATGTTTAGTTTGATGTGCAGCCATAGATTAAAGCCCATAAGTGTAGTAAAACCTAAAAGGCTGTAGAATTAAGTAATCTCCTAAAACTTTGAAACCCTCTGCAGAAATCTTTTTCGTAGAAGTCAGACGTTAGGATGATCAGCAACTCAGCCTGTGGTGAGTATTGATCCCACCACTGCAGTAACTTCTCTAAAACCTTGACTGAATCATTGTCCTCACAGCGTTTTGCCTGTCTGACCTATAGTGAGCAAAGCTGCTGTGTCACTGGGACGGGACAGTATCTCTGGGGACATGGAAGACCACAGTCACGATTGGACACCTCTGCGTTTGCTGATAGCGCTGAGTCACATTTGAGTCCCAGCATTCCCTCTCATGTGGCCTCAGGAGTCGCTCATCCTGCAGCTTTTCCACACCTGCGTACATCCAAACCCTTCAGCTTCTGACCTGACAGAGAAAGCAGCACCGGCGTGAGACTTTGAGGAAGTCAGCAAGCATTGCTGCAATCCGTAATACGGCCGTGAAGACACAGCAGGCCGCAGTGCTCTCCTGCCCAAAGTTCCTCCTTTTGCAACCAACTGCCTGAATGTTGTGCTTCTTAGGAGATAAGGGCAGCCTCCCACGAAAGGTGACTCAGCAATCCAGCACACACAGACTCTCCTGAGATAAGGGAGCTCTGTGGGGCCTGGGGACAGTGGGATACAGGGATAAGAAGAGAAAACAGAGTATAACCACTATTTACTCTGGAAAACTGAGCATAACCTCTAGTAAATTAATCAGCAGTGAGTACAGCTCTGGAGGGGAAAACTATTTTAATAGCATAAACTTTGAGTACATCAGTAAATTTAAATACAGTAATTACAGCAGACATACTCCACCAAGTATTCATATGAGATAATAATGACAGGACATATCTGAAAATGAGAGGTGAGTTACTTTAGACAATCCAGAGGTTTATTATTGAGGTGTCATTATTTATTTATAATTTCCATCAATATTAATCCACAATTTATATCTCTCTTAATGATGTCAGACAGTATATAGGCACCCATCACTCTGTGGCTTTAACTAAATGACTGTGCAGGAGAGTGACACTGAAGATTGGAAATTAAACATCTTAAAAGGCCTGTCTATATATGTTATCTTCATACTATAAGCATGAATGATGGCAGAATGGAGGGAGAGGACATGTTGCGCCCAATCCAGTCATATGAGCTGCAGACAGTAGGCGTTTACTAATTTACATACAATGTTGTGTATCTCAGTTTCAAGTCACTGAATTTTTGCAGCAAACTTCTTATGCTGAAGTTAGAGCAAGTCTCACAGAGCTCATATTGATGGAAGCATCTGAAACTGAAATATCTCTGCTGGGTCTGGACTCAGAGCCAGTGACTGTGTTGGTTTGTAGACTCAGGAACACAAAACCAGAGGGAAAACCACATTTCAGTGACTATAACGCATATCTGTATCTTGATCTTCTGCAGGACTGAGCCAGTAAGTCAGCAAAGATGCACTCAGTGGACATGCATCTTCAAACAGAAAGAAACAAAAAGGAAAATGCTGTAAGAAAGAAGCAATGTGCAGAGGTTCTGACATGATCCAGATTCAGGACACTTGCTGATGTGATGAGGCAGGACAGAAGCTTTGACACTGAGGGGACCATCGCTGGGGAGAATGAGCAAAGTCAAACGGATGAAACACTAAAGAGAAAAAACTCATTATATGGGAAAGGAAACAGTTGTGTTAATTTCATGGACTGCTTCAGCGTGCCAGAACAGGTGACAGAAGGGGAGCTGTCCAATATGCAAGTAAGGAGCCCCCACCCCACCCCAGCCCGTCAGCTTCCTCGGTGAGAATGAAATAAATAAACAATGAATGGTCCACTCTCCTCGCGCGCCTCATCCCATCTCATGCATGGCTGCCAGTAATGGTCTACTGGGTGTCAGCTTTTATTGGCACGGCACAAAGCAAGTGCCAAGGGCTCCGAGGCTCGACTCCCCGCTGCAAACACGGCCTGTGGATAAAAGCGAGCAAAATGCCCCAGTCGAGCTCAGAGACATAGTCATGTTGGGCTGGAACGAGGAAGTGCAGTGGAGAGGGGAGGGACTCAGGGCGCAGCTCCATGGGGCCGCCGCGGCGCTGCGACCTTCTGCACATGGAGCCGGGGAGAGTTGGAAGAACTTCATACTGCAAACTCAAGGAATAGCAGGTAAAGTGATTTCCACCGCGCTTTTTTAACTCCACACTCGTCTCAGAGGCTAGATCAACACTTCTAAACTGAGCTGGTTTCTTCTCAAGTTCTGTAGGAGAGATTTTACACCTGACTGGGAAAGAGACTCCTTTAGTTTCGATGCAGGTGCGCCGCAGCATCAGATCCCGTTTGGTGCGCGTAATTCTCCGCTGGTACAGAGCATGTAACGGATTATTAAAAAGAATACATTTAAGTTTAAATACAGAAAACTAAAGTCAGGTTTCCGCGTCATTTGGTAATAAACAGACTAATTTAACGGAAGTAGTGGAATGTTCCCCATTTTTCCTGTGTCTTTTTCTTTTGGGAACATATGGATAAATTATTTCACAATCACTTTAAATTATATACAAAATACCAGTCTAATTTCTAAGATTTTCCTCTAATTATCTCCGCATTTTGGTGTTATTTTAACCTGTTTATTATGTTATTACACTCCTGATATAGCACCTGTTGCAACAGATGTGCGCGCTCAGTAAACTTCACATCGTCCCTCTGTCTCTGAAGTTTCATAAAATATTGAAGCACACATTTTCAGATAAAAACAACAACTTTTCATTAAGACGGAAATTTTGTCGAGGACCAAAAAACATAGGTGTGAATATTTCAGCGCTGCTCAAACAGGAAATCAACACGCACAGACTAACGCTTACCTTCTCTTTCGTATGAATTAATAATCGATGTGTTAATTTCTCATACCGTTAAGCTTTGTATTCACCGGCTCGAAACACAGTCGTTAAACGGCTGTGTGAAGGAAAGAAAAAAAAACCACACATAGGCCTATGTAGGCAGGACTGATGAAACTTTTTTACACTGCTGACACTGAGGTAGAAAGTAGTTCATCAACGCCCAGGCAGAAAAACAGAAAGAATCTCTCTCTGACTGTTGAGGAAATACAGTGTTTCATCTTTATAACACGTTGCAAAACCTAAAGTTCCTCCTTGCTGAAGTTGAGCCTCTGCAAAAATATTTTAAGCCCCATTTGCTTTTGATTAAATTAAGATTTAATGTAACTATTCATATTTGTGTCTTTGAAGTGGCGCCTGTTTGATGTAAAGCACTGAGTCAATGAATTCAGTTTTAAACTGTGAGAGAGCATCTCCATTTTATAATATGTATTTTTAGCAAGTATGAATGCTTTTGAAGTTTGCTTTCAGGTAAAATGTTATTTTTCTATGAGTTTGAAACATTTAAGGGAATTTAATAATTCTGAAAATCCACTCAAATCACACTTAGATGCAAATATTCAACAAAAACTAACACTTGGCAAAAGTAGTAGACAAATTAGTTTGATTTCAGATCCATTTAAAACTTGGGAAGGAACCCCAGTACCTGCACAAATAGGACTTTTTCATATCTCAGTTGGAAAGAGAAGTGCTGAAAGTGCTGCAAATCTGTCTGCAGATACATCATCTTTCTTGTCAGTAGAAACAGAAGTAGGAGGAGGAGGATGAGGAGGAGGGGGGCAGAGGAAGGCAGACAGTTATTAAAATGATTGTACTGTCTGAATAGCAGAGTAGTGAAGTGTGTCAGATGCAAATGAAGGAAACTTCTCTTCAGCGCACCTTTACTCTCCCCTCACCCCCTCGATAGGCTCCCAGAACACATCCGCTAACACTATCTACCCACTTACACCCATTACGTTTCATGAATTACTGAATCTCCATGTGCATATGAACAAAGGTGACCGTGCAACCACATTGCTTGGCATCTCTAATCCTAATGGCTGATAAGAAAGCGCCAACAGCTTCATCACTTCTCATGAAAACCCATGGGCGTGAAAATTATTAATTCAGAAATTTTCATTAATTGTCAGTAAGACTGTTTAGTAACTGTCTGAGGTGGAAACTTTCAGTAGAGTGTGTGAGAATAAATAAAATTATGATTCATATTGTTTGAACATGTAATCAGAGTGGAGTCAACAGTAGCGCGCGATGACACAGGATTCATATAGTGATGATATATTATATAGTGATGTATTTAATGCTATAACACGTTTTATTGCAGCCAAAAATGTAATTGTCATAAGCAGAAACATATAAAAATATTTTACATAAAATCCCCTTTGCCTTAAAACCCACTTTTATTATTTTATTTTTTATTTATTTAAATGTAAAATCATTTTTAGAAGCGTGTGCCATCATGTTAAAAAAATATTTTAAAAAAAATAATTTAATTAATTTTGATGACATGAACTTAATTCTAACTGGACGCTCAAGTAACTTTTTTATAACATTGTTTTCCATTTCTTTACTTGAGTGTTGCTTTATATATCAGTATTTACTGTTGATCTTAAATGTGTATTGTGTACGCTCATTTAAACACCAGTTTCTAAGCCTCCTCCTGGGTATCCAAAGTTTGCTGGTGTGGTCCACAGTATCTGTTAACGGTTTCATTGTTTCTCATCTCCACCCTGCTCCCTGGTGTAGCTTTTGCACCTCACTATGAGCAGACGCCTCTAAACCCCCCCACCCCCACCAGCTACCAAACACAACACACACACATGCACACAAACACACACGCACAGGAGGAGGACCGAGAATTCTGTCAACCCACAAGCCTCTTCCTGCCTCTCCTCACTTGACGTACTCAGACCAAAACTTTTCCAGTCCCCCTGCGCTACTTGTAGCGCAAGCCTTTTCTGTGACTTCCATTTCACTGGTTGAAAGATTCCACCTGCCCCCAGTTCATTTACACTCACACGCAATCCTCCAGGTTACCAGCCAGGACATGAGCAGAAAGGAGTAAAAGTCTTGCTGTATTTATAATTTAAGTTTGATTTGATTAAATAATGAGAAAAGTTATGACTGGTTGGTTAGATGTAAGCATTTTAGTTGTACAGCACCTGCTCTTATCAAAAAATATGTTTCCAAAGTAGGACTTTAAACTTTGGGAAAGGAAAATTAAAGCACATTATCTAAATTACATCTAAAAACAATATGAGAAAAGTTTTTAAAATAGTAACAGGAGTGTTTGCAACACAGAAAATGTAAACAGCATTAAAATAGTATCACAAAATAGCTACTTCCCGAATATTCTACGTGCACCTTACTTTCCACATGCCTACGCAAGTGGGTTGTGGCTGAATGTAGGAACTCTCTGACTTTTTTATTTCTGCCGAGGCCCCCCTCGCCAACACATCCGTGTTTCCCCTCGCACCATCTGCCCAGAAAAAAAGGGCACATGAGAATATACCCCCCTCTGCCCCCGACCTCCAAACTCCAGATGCTGAAGAAGTGCGCTGCAGAGTCGTAGCTCAGCAGAGTAACACGCAACACCCCTGTGTTGTGCTGAACAAATCTTCTGCACCAGTGACCTTTGCCCCCCTCCTCCTCCTCTCACACTTGCATCCTGGGCGTCTGCAGGCCGCTGAGCTCCTGACTTGACTCCGCAGAATATTGTGCATTGCGACAGAGAGGCCCGGTCGCTTCCCACTATTTGTTCCAAATGTGTGGAGCCATCTGTCAGTAAAACAGGAAGGCCTAGGTTCCCCTTCTCCCTTGGGCTCGTTTCGCTATTTTCGGGAGCTTCACTTCTCCCTGAGTGGCTGCTTGGACTGGGCAGCGGCCCCACCAAGGGCTTCTTGAAGTGGCGGAGCTGGGGCTGAGGCTGTCGGGCCCATCTGCTGCAGGCTTGAGGGCCATCCATTATTAATGGGGCCACGAGCACTGGTGACTCCTCAGATATTCAGCCCTGGCCGGAGGATCGCTTCTAAAAAAATTCATAAATAAAGAGAACTTCTCTGTCCTTCGGCCTGCTTTTCTGTCTCTTTTCTTTTCTCTGCACCTTCCTGTTGCATTTGCTCTTCTGACTTCTTGCCCTCCCATTGCTATCTACGTCTCTGCCTCTATATCTATCTCGCCGCTCTTCTGTCTTCTTCTTCTTCTCTCTCTTGCTCTCCCTATCTGTCCTCCCCTCTCTTTGTTTCTGATTGTGGCTTGCATGCGTCTGTGCCCAGGCCGCGGGCTCAGCGATGCATGCTCAGTAAATTAGAGAGAACACGGGCGCCGATCAGCTGGGAACGGCAAACACCCGCATCCTCGTGACCTGGGGCCAGTTAATTTTCTGCTTAATTTTGCGGCAGTCAGTTTGCATTTTTGGATGATTACGTGGCAGGAAATTAACAATAAATAACAAATGTGGTCTGAAAGCCCATTCCCGGCAACCCCGCACTACCAGCGGGCCCCATCAGCCGAAGCCAAGCCACTCTCCGAGCTCAGTCTCTCTGTCAGACTTGTAATGAAAATGTCTGTAATTCTTTGTAATGTAATGTGGAGGACAGTGGTGTGTCTGCAGCAGTGACAAGAGTGATCTCACTGAGGTGACAAAGTCACGCCGAGAAGTACACCCTTTACTCCACTCTGGCTTTTTATAATGTTGTTTCCTCAGCCTGCACTTGATTAAACTTACACACATCTACATCTCCATCTCTCTCCCATTAGAGTACTTGCACCGCATGGAGACAGAGGAGGCCCAGGAAATGGCCCAGATGCCAGGTAAAAGACTACCTACTGCATGATTGAGCTGTAGAGTGCAGAAAGTAGATACAATAGGCCCCAACAAACAAGCTCTTACACCACGCAGAGGCAATTTTGCTTCTCCTGAATGAAACACGTCGAGAGGCTGTGTGGTGAGTGATGGGTGTTTGCTTATGTGTGTGTCTCCCCAGGCAGGGACAGCCCCCCTGCCAACGAAGCATCCGAGGAGGCAGAGGAGCCCATGGCCGTCCCTGAGGACCTGTCAGCCGGCTCCACCCACCAGCAGAACAACAGAGCGGACAAAGGTATGAGGCAACATCTCACTAAACGCACCCACAGCCAGTCAGAATATCACTGATGCTTGTGTAAATTAAGAAGAAATTCCTCTCAGTGTGTGATTGCTACATTAAGTTGAGTGTACCCAGGAAGCAGCAATCAAAATGAGTCAACCCCACTGCTTTCCCAGCAGTGATGTATTCATTCCCAGAGCATCCAAATCAGAGTTAAATGGTTAAATGAAAGTAATGTCAGTATCAAAAGCATAACACACATATATGTATAAAAAAGCATAAAATGTTTTTATAACTTAATCCCATGCACATCCAGTGGGAGATATTTGCCGTTTCAAATCCCTTGGAAAAATTAATTTAAAGCTGCAAAGAGACACATTTAGGTCATTGGCAGAAAAAGGTAAAAAAAAAATCCCTTTGATCCATGGCATGTCATTAATAAGCTGAATCTTAAGGAATAGCTAATGTGGCCTTGATTTGAGTTTGTGAACATCAAGCCAGGGAATATCATGGTGAAAATAAGGATGAAGCATGCTAGGGGGATTCACAACGGTGGCGTATATTTATCTCACGTCTCCTAATGTGGGTGGTTTGTGAAAAAAAACAAAACAAAACAAAAAAAAACCAGGAAGGTGTAATCATCATCAGTGTTTAAAAGCTAATCGGTTTTACATGACAGCAAGATGAATCAGACATAATATACAGTTTACATAGCATAAATAATACAGGTCTTATTTTTGCTTATCAGAATTATTGTTTAATTATAAAATTAAAAGCTTGGTAAAACTTCTAAGCACATTAATATGTCCAGGGAATGACCAAAATATTAGCAGCTTTCAAGATGCACTCAGATGAGGTGAATCCGGTGTTATTTATTGAATTGATTTATACATTTTTACTAATTCGAAAAATAGGAGATACAGAGAATATAGGCATAAAGAATCAGACAAGTTTGAGGAAAATTCTCACAGTTAAAGATGTGAATTGTGAAAAAAAGGTGCAGTTCAGGATCACAAATATAACGTGGGTTGTGTATTTTGTTTTAATCTTGACAAATAAAACCGAGCACGACGGCTTACCATCCCATCGGTGTTTTTCCACTTATCCAGATGGCGGCAACGATTAGCAGCACACAGTCAAAAATAAAATGCGAGAGGAAACTGAAATAGGATGTGTAAGAGTTTCCTAAGAAGAACTTGCCATCAGACAGTTTCAACACTCCTGGAGATAAAGAGTTCAGGAACAGGGCCAAGCTCAGAGAGATCAGCGCATCACTACACCGCATAGGTCACACACCTGCGAACACACACACACACACACGCTTACTCACAAAGGCTCTCTATTTTACTTTACAACTGTTGAGCTGGAAGGTGTCGAGCTCAGCGTTAAAAGGGATCTCTGAACACTTCTGAACAAATCGAGGGCAAAAATTAAAACATGTGAAATTGAGGTAGGAAGTGTTTCAATTATGTTTTATACGAGTGTCTACATCTCATCTGAGCTGACTGATAGATGTTGGTATAATCAGGAAAAAAAGGGGCAGAAAGAATTTAAATATCTGATTTTCATCAGCATCGTGTAAAGACAGCAGAGCTGGCGGCGTGTGTGTATGACTTTATGTACTATAAGTGAGTTTCTGTTCATTCCCTGTAACGGCACGATCACCTCGTATGAGTGTGTGTACACATGTCTATATAGGGACAGAGAGAAAGAAGGGAAGTGCAAGTATCTGGTACATCTATGCATGGCTGCCTCAGTGATAAAAGCCCAAATGAGTTATAATTATCACCCAGGATCATGTGCTGCTCAGTTCTCTATAGTGAAAAAAAGGTGAAAAGCAGGGGGACTATATGTGGGACACAGGACCTCGAAGTATCGAAAGCTCAGAAACCTCAAAACCCAGGTTGTTTCCTGTTGCAAATAAGTCTTCACAGCCTGGGATCGTCACATTTACAATGCTGCAATCCACATGTATGTGACTCTGAGCATGAGGGAGGTTTATAGGTCGAAGTGAACCGTGTTTGTCGTCCATATCAGTGTGTTTAGTAAACTGTCACAAACATGCAAACTAAATTAATTGAGTTATCTTGTGTGGATTGAAGTGAATATTTACATGGAGGCATATTTGGTTTTAGTCACAAGGTGAAAAGATGAACTTCTCAACATCCCAGTGACATGATTTCTCTTTCACTTTCAGTGATTCAGACGGAGCCTTTGCTTTTTCATGAGACAAAGAGGGAGACTGAGCTGTCTAGTTCCCGAAAATATGGAGGCGAGTTTTTGAAAAAGAGTGTGAGGGGAAAGGCAGTCTGTTTTTGGTGTTCCCGCAAGTCGTGTTCAGAGTGTTACTGGCGTGGTTTAACACATGTGGTTCCACTAGTTTGCACACAGTTATTTTCAGGCAGTGAGAGCAGCACAAGTCAGTAACAGGAACCTCCAGCGGACTCCCTGTGTTTCCACGCTGCTCAACTAACACACTTACTAACTTGCTCCTGCTATCAAAGCCTGTCAACATAGTTTTATTATTATTTTTTTCTTTTTATGCCAAAAATTGCCTCTTTTACTTGTGCTACAGCATTTTTATATTTGTTAGTTGCTTCTTTCTGTATTTATCATTGTTTGATTCTCTGCTTCAGTGTGTGTTACCTCTTTATCTGTGATCAGAGGATTAGAGTCACATCAGGTTATAACCATTTTATTGCGACCTGTTTTGTTTGTCTGACCCTTGCTTCCCAAAACGACCAAATCAGGATGTGTGACCGTGACAAACGAGATAAAAAGTAAAAAGCCTTCTTCCTATTCCAAATTCAGTCACAACTTCCCCATATCCATGAGAAGTGGGTGGCAGCCCAGTGTTCATGGTTCCCTTCTGTCTGCTTTAGCTCGCTGATAACCTGAGAGCCTCATTGGTGTTGATGTCTCAGGAACTGACAACAACACATACACAAAGGTTTTTTAGTGCATAGTTCGAGCAATTATGAAATAAGTGACTAACAAAATGTGTTGTGTGGAGTATACATCTTTTTCTATTTAAGAGTTATTCCTGGATCAGTGGCGACATTTCTGTGTGCAGAGAAATGCCTCTCCTGCCAATAGTATGATCAAGCCTTTTTATTATTACATCATTTTACAACTCCCTGTTGACATTACTTAAGTACTTAAGTTACCCAGAAAGTTGTGACAACCACAGGTTATGTGGGCAAAACCATAAATTAAGTTAGAAGGGTTGAAGTGGTGTAGCTGTTCATAGTTTTGCTTTCAAGCTCTGTGATATGCAAATGAGATGAACCTGATCAGTTGCCCCAAAAAAATCCCCCCATTAATTTTCTCTGACGCTTACGTAACCATTAAAGTGCTTACATGCCTGACTGAAAAACCTCAGTGGTTCAAGTGTGAAAATCATACGCATGGATTGTAACATGTGCAACGTAAAGTCTTCAGAAAGATGGCTCCGACTGTGCAGGTTGTTATTCAAAACCAGGGGTGTTTGCACCTCGAGGAGAACTTCTGCTGTTGCATGGAGGAATGTAGGAGGACTGTGGTGGAGCTTAAGTAATTTGAACTAATAGAAATTAATACATTCTCATATTGAGTCACCTGAACAGCACTTGTTGAGGGTGTGTGTAGAGTAGTAGTAGTAGTGTAGCGAGCAGAGAAGTCGAAACAGTTAGCTGTAATGGATAAACAGCTGAAATAGTTTGGTTAAAGTGATGGATAAATTATTAAAGGGACAGGTCAGATCTTTTGAAGTGGGGTGTATGAAGTACCAAAGTCAGTGCATTACCTTAGTAAATGGCAGCAGCCCCCAGTTGTGTACACTATATTGAGAATATATTCACTGCTTTACCTTGCTGCGGGGAAGCCGTTAACAGCTTTAGTTCCCCATCAATGCTCTTGTAAAACCTACCAGACTCCATTAACAAAAACAGTAATTTAACATTGCTGAACAAAGGAGCTGCTGTTCTACCACTGCCATGATCAGTTAGTTTTTTTGTGTCATGCGTGACTCTGGGTGAATCTGAACTAACTCTTTTTAATTCACACAATACCATAAACTAACCAATAGAAGCAGTCGTCCTGCAGCACCTGTGTGCAAAGATGTTAAATTACCATTTTTCTCAATGGAGTCTGGCTTTGAAAAGAGCAATATAACGGCTTCAATTCCCCATCAGAAATGACAGCTATGAAAAATTGACAGCTACGTTAAGTTGTGAAAATATTATATATATAGCATGCAATTAAACTGACGTTGACTAAAACACATTTTACTGCTGCCCCCCTCTATAGCAGTACATTACTTAGCTTCCATGTTGACACTGCCTGCTGCTCTGAAGGGGGGGCATGTCGACCGCCATCTACTGAAGGTAATACACTGACTATAAATAAGTGCCTCATACAGCCCCACGTAAAAAAGTCTGAACGATACCTTTAAAAACTTAAAGTAATGGATGAATTATTGCAACATATAGCTCAAAGAACCTGTATGTGACATTTAGAGCATTACGTTGCAGCAAACCACCATTTGCTATGTAAGGATATAGCGGAGTAATGACGTCTCGAGCAGATAATTAAGTCATGCTACCTCTGTGTGTGTTGTAATACAAGCTTCTCCTGTCTCTGTTTCGTTATCCGGTTCGGCTGCATGTTAGTGCATGTGAGTCCAGTGTGTCCAATGCGTGTCTATCCCATCGGCTAGCTGATCCGTGCCACTCTGCACTGCGCTCATGCGGCGGTTGGCACTGACAATGCCACCCCAACCCACAGTGTTGAGAGCCGTGTATAGGCAATCCCGGCCAAGACTGAATCATAGATATGCTCTGAGTGTCACATACAGCTCCTTTTAACTAATGGATAAATTATTAAAAGCGAAAGGATAGTTGACAACAGATAGTTGAAATTAAGGCAAAATCAGTTTTGTTTGTTAATAGTAATGGAGGAATGGTTAAAATGAAATAATGGTGTAGAAGAAGGGAATTAGAGTTTATCAGACAGGGACGTGGATGTACACCTGTTGAGAACCACTGTCTAAAGTTAAATCTATTACAGCATATGAAACCAGTGAACTCCTAAGTGAAACTAAAAGCATCATGCCAGTAACAGTATCAGAGTTTGTGTTAACCAATAGCAAGGGTCATTGCATAAGAGTCACATTTTGGACACACGTGTAGTATGTTTGGTAACTGGTTCATACACAGTTTTGTGCCATAACTCGTCATCAGCGTCTGCAGTTTAATAGAACTTAATCACCATTTTGTTTTGATGAACAGTGAAGCCTTTCCTTCCCTTTGCGTGCTCGGCTGGTGTTTCTCTTATCTCATCTGCTCAGCAAAAGGACAAGTGTGTCCAAAAAATTTCAACAGTCGACCAGATAAGGAGATTGTTTGTCATGCAACAGTGAATTAAAAAAAAAAAGTGGTGTGAAGATGGACGATTGGATTATGAAACTTTGATCGGAAAAGTGATCATTAATGTCTAACGATCCTACGCTGTCAGTTCTCAAATTTCACACCACCTCCCGCTTTCTATGGGAAACTTTGTGTGCATTAGGGGATATATGTTCCCTCAGTGGCTGTCGGTGAAAACAAGACTGAAAAAAAAAAAAAAAAACATGTTTCAGTTACAGGCTGTTTTACAATTCCTTTCCCGTGCTTCCCTTTCTGTCACTTCTCCATAATTCTTGGTATTTCAGTTAGACAGGCCCTCTTTCTGAAGCTTCCCCTTTTCCATAGATTCCTATATTTCATGATTTCCACTTCTTCCTCTTCAGTTGTACAAACAGAGGTAGAGGCATGGGGAAATCAGGCTGCCACTGTGACATGCAAACCACAGTTTGGTAGCCATGGGACTTGCAAGATCTGTCAGTTCTCTTAAACGTTTTTAAAGTTCTCTGCCAGGAAAAGAGGGAGAGCTGGTCGTTCAGCACAGAGGGCACTTCTCTTTTCTAATCACTTTGGGAACACCAGCCATCAAGTAGAAATTTTAGTGTAGTTCAAATAATCGTCACCAATCATGCAGTATTTACTTTCTGTACACAGATCAAGACTCTTCTAAATAGTAAAAAGGCCAAGTGTGTCTTGTGTGTGCCTGTGTGTGCTCATCTCACTTTGTTGCTTTGATAGACACCGCTGTCGTCCCTAGTTTCACACTGCTTCCTGTGTCTCTGTTTCCTGTTTATCTTGCTGTCATTTGTTTCACCAAAGTGTGATGGTGTGAGATGATCTGTGTGTTTCTTCATCACCGGCATCCTCAAACAGTACACACGCGACCCACCAGTGTATCCTTATGAAATATTCTATGCTGCTTGAAAATAAATGAGCAGTGTAGTCTACAGTTTAGACAAGAAGGCTGTGGGTCGATCTTATCTGGTGTTTGTTGAGTTCTCTCAGACTGAATTCACAAAAACGGCTGAAGTAAGAGGGGAAGTTTTGATGCAGTCCCGGTCAAATTGAAAATGTTGCATTGTGCAGTAAAGGTTTGCCATTGCAAAAGCATTGTTGCTGTAGTTAGCCTGTGTTTTAGTGCAGTAGCAGTGCTTGAACATACTGTCTGTCCCGACGGAGGACAAGGAAATGAACAGAACCATGTTAATTACAATACCATACTGAATGTATCCAAATAAAGCCAGGCCGTATTGCAATTGTACAAGTTAAGTTTCATGGCTGTGAGTCCAACACTTTAGCATATATTATGATGTGTCTCATTTTGAGTAAAAAAACAGAAGCATCTCACCAAAAGATAAGGAATAATTTAACAATGACAATCACTCAGGTAAATTATTTTTATAAAATCAAATAAAAACACTTAAAATTATAAGATTAAGAGCAACACTTAACAATAATTATGACAGAATACAACTGTTTTTACTTAGAATGAAGGACAGGCACTCCAAACAAAATGAAAAAGAGGCAGATCCATAAGGCAAAACAAATTCTCTTGCACTTTTATAAATGATCAGTGAGGTAAAGTGGATATAATGACCAAACATCTCTTAGAGACATTCATCCATTCAGTGAGGACAGTCAAATAGGTTCACAAAATCGCTTCACTTTCCATTTATGAAGCCTTTCAGACCAGGCAAATGCAACTTGAACGCTACATCTCAATGTTACAATAAGCAGCTCTTTCTATTCTTATGTCACAGTATCAATATCACACTGATAATTGCCCATCTTTAGTATATAACATCATGAAAGAACCAATGCTCGTATTCTAAACCGTGGCCCTCCCCTCCCTGCCCTCTTTTCCAGCCTGTAACATTAAAGTTGAGGCTCGCAGTGATGAGGAGAATGGGCTGGCCTGTGACATGAATGGCGTGGAGGAGGAGGAGTGCGCGGAAGACTTGCGCGTGATCGATGCCTCGGGGGCCAAGGTGAACGGCTCACAACCGAGCCCCGAAGCCAAGGCCTTCTCTTCGGCCGGCGGTATCCGGCTGCCCAACGGGAAGCTCAAGTGCGATATCTGTGGGATAGTTTGCATTGGCCCCAATGTGTTGATGGTGCACAAGCGAAGCCACACTGGTAAGCCACCTGCAATACTTCTTGCCCTTCCTTTGCACCCATGTTCACTGTTAGTATGAGAGGATGAATGGGGGGGTAGAAAGGTGTCTACTGTGGCTCCCGCCAATGTTCAGAGCATTACTTTAGACTTTAAATGGCAAAAATGAAGCTCAGAGTAGTTGTCTCCCACTAACACAAGCAGTATCACAGTGTATATACTGACGCTTTGTGTCTTCTTTGCCTGCACACAAACATTAGTGATGGATAAACTGAAAAGCCTGCTCTTACACTCAGTACTTGTTATAATGGCATCCTTGCATTTAGCTGTATGCATGTAAACCTTCCTGTCGTGCGTGAAATAGACTTTGAGCACATCCTTAGTATTAATTATTATTCATCTAAATGACTCTGAATTACCACATGACAAGCAACATTAACTGATCAAATTATTGTGCGATAAAGCAGCAGAGACTAACTTGGTCCGAAAAAACATGCCCTCAGTAGAGAAACAGGATATCTGCGGCAATTAAATGGGATCTCTATGAAGTGACAATTATCTGGCTATTAAAAGTTTTTCAAATTTCAAAATTGATATTCTATTGTAATGAAGCCAAACCAGTGGTGGGGAACATTTTTGAAAAAGGCACTTAACTGTCAAGCTTTAGAAACTAATGAAACTCAAAATGGAAGAAAGGAACACTAGACTAATGTAAATGCAAAAGAAAGTACAATAAAAGATATAATGAAGTGCCTCCTATTTAAATAGAAAATATTCTGTGGTGAGTCTTTGCTCCTGAAATGCATTTTTAATGAATTTCCTTTTTTATATATTTTTGCTGCTTCACTGGTGACTCTTATTTTATGGGGGGCCTTTGAAAAAAAAGCCATATTAAAACGTTCTCACAGAATGCCACAACACTCGGAGAGGCTGGATATTGGTTTATTCCAGAAGCGCTGATCAGGAAGACTGGCTCTCAACACAAAGTGTTTCCTTCGCTTTATTCAAATGAGGCTGAATTTGCATTGTGATGTGCCGCTCTTATTTTAGAGACGAAGAAGAGGAAAAAATGAGATTTTCAGATCAAATTGACCTAGGCAATGGTGCATTACGGAACTGGCAGGCTGAGTCTGAAAGGCTCTTGTTCGATCAGAGCGCCAGAAGTCGGTGGGGCAGGGGGAGCATGGAGAGATGGAGTGTCACTCTGCTGTGAAACCCTCCCACAGGCTGCTGGATTGCTCTCTGCCCCGGAGACGCTCCATCATCCGGCTTGTTCTGGCGCTTGGGATGCTTGTAATGCCGTGACCCTGCGTTCCTACAGCAGCAACATGCTTTTTCATCCTCATAGAAAAGACAAACACTTTGTGCTTTTATTGTTGTCAGCGGAGGGATTGAGCATAGTGAGGTTAGGGAGAGCGGTGCAAGAAGAAAAACATTAAAAATTATGCACTGCCTAGTAGGGTGTATAAAAAACATATAAAACTGGGTGCCAGTAAAACACACAAGTTTTTCTTTTTTCTGTTGTTTTATTGTGTGTTTTTTTTAATCTTCCTCTTTACAGTAACATGCATCTGTTGTGTTCTTCTCTTTAGGAGAGCGCCCTTTCCAGTGCAGCCAGTGTGGCGCCTCTTTCACCCAGAAGGGCAACCTGCTGCGTCACATCAAGCTCCATTCAGGGGAGAAACCCTTCAAGTGTCACCTGTGCAGCTACGCCTGCCGCAGGAGGGACGCCCTCACCGGTCATTTACGCACCCACTCGGGTGAGTATGGAAAAGGTCACCCACACTGACAATTTCTGCACTCGTGGTAATTGTAGAACTGCTCTGAGGCCATGACATGCTCTGCAGTGCATACAGAGTGAGCTCAGGACTGTATAAGGGGAAGTTGACTGGGTGTAGATATGGTGTCACCTTTTTTTTTTTGCAAATGCTTTGCAGAAGTATGTGTTAATGAAATTTTTGGGTGTAAACAGTACACTTACAAAGACTGCTCTGAATAATTCGAAGAAACAGTTATGGGATAACCTGCACATTTACTTCTGCATAGCAACTTAAGTCAGTTTACACGTTCAACTGCGTCAACCAACAACAGTGACTGAGCTTAAAGCTGGCATAATAACCACTATGATGGGTTATCCATCTGAAGCTCTTTGTAATTCTCCACAAGTTGATATGCACAGGCACTGAATTCAATGAAAGCAAAAGGCTGCATGAATGGAAGAGTGTTGAAATCATAAAGCTTACAGACTAGGATGGCCTAAGCTTAAAGGATAAGACTGAAATTATTTCTTCTTTTTTTTTAGTTTCTTAAATTCCCATGAAAGGATGAGAACCAACAGTGTGGCAGTCTCTTAGTACTTTCCAACTTCCCTACTATGTTTGTGACATTCAGCTCCAAGCCCAATTCATTCTTACTGAGGACAGGCTTTGAAAACATAACTCACAAATATTTAATTTCATTTCATAAAAAGGCTGAGCAGTTTCCTAAAACAGCAGGGCTCTGTAGTTACTGGCAAATATTACTCAGATTGGAGTAAATAGTATGCTGGTTATGAATTTGTCACCCAGTGAAACAGAGTGGCTCATTTATGTGTTTTCTTTAGTTTTTAGTTTATTCCACAAAAGGAATAAGCTGTAGTAGTGGCTCATTCTCAGGGCCAAAGACAGAATTTTAGAAATACCAGGGTCATGGGTCCCCCCAGTCCCAGACACCCATGTAAAAATTCTGACCTGACTGATACAGATACAAATATATTTCAGTAGATTAAAATACACACTGTGGGTATATTATTATTTAGTTAAAAAGACCTCTTTACAAGACCAAGCTTCAGTTGTTAATCTTGTTGTCTTGAAAATAGTTAAATTTAAATCAAGTCTCCATGGGAATCAGCTCAGAAAATACCCATCATGAATAACTTTTATTTGTAAAATGTAAACTCCCCCCAACTTGATTCCTGAATTCCCCAAAAAAAAGCACAGAGGACATGACCTCAATGACCTCACTAGCAGCTACAGTCGTGCTCAAGTGTGAACTTATCCACTTGTGAAGTTTTTCTCTGGACTTCCCAAAGATCAGCTGTCAATCAAACAGTGTAGGTGGTACTTCCAGATCTTTTCCTTGGGTTTTCTGTTTTTATAGGTGGTGCTCTTTTCTTTGTCTGACCACTGTTTATGCTAAATGCCCAGTTTGTCTTTTTATATTTATTCCATTAAAACTGGAAATGAAAAATCCATCACTTCCTGTTTTTTTCCCAGTAAAGAGTTACCAAAAAGGGCAATTAGAACAGAAGATGAACTCAACCGTATGTTGAATCATTATTGTGCTCTCATCACTGATCATATGTTATTTTCTGCAGTCGGAAAACCCCACAAGTGTGCTTACTGTGGGCGGAGTTACAAGCAGCGCAGCTCTCTCGAGGAGCACAAGGAGAGGTGTCACAACTACCTCCAGTGCATGGGGCTGCAGAACAGCATCTACACAGGTTGGTGGCTCACGAGACGCACACTTCACTTTCACCCAAATCTGATGGCCTACTTTACCCTGAGTGCAGGACCCGCTATGCATGCAACAGCAGTGTAACATGAAGCTGTTACTAAATGCTCTGACAGGTCAGGTCAAATTACTGTTATTTCCTTTTGAATATAAACTAATGCAGAAATTCTTCAGCTACTTAAAATGACTGCAGAGATAATTAAGTTGATTTAATCATATTGTCAGTGTGAAGTTCTGTACACTATAGCTATTTAAAGCACAGGTTGTTGTAAACCTCTGCACTCAAACCTAGAAACACATCCATACGTCATCTGTGAGCATGAACAAATACTATATTTATAGACCAAGTGCTTCACATGTGTCAGAATAGTCCGCTCTGTGCTCTGTGAGAAAAATACCATCAGACCAGAAAATACCAGCATGTGTTATCAGGCACTCAAATTACTTTGACTCTGAAATCTACTTTTCTGTCTTGCTTTCCAGTAGTAAAGGAAGAAAGCAACCAGAATGAGCAGAGGGAAGACTTAAGCCAGACGGGATCTGACAGAGCCTTGGTGCTAGACAGACTAGCTAATAATGTAGCTAAGCGTAAGAGCACTATGCCACAGAAGTTTGTGGGTAAGGGCTGAAATCTGCTTCCTTTGTGTAAATACATCATCACTGCTTTTGCTGAAAAATCTGTGTAAATGCTGCACCATGACAGCTGAATAGGTGAAGCTTCAATGTGTTTTGTGTAAATTAGTTTTTCTGTGCAACCCTGGCTCTGCAGAAAGCATGCAGTGTAACAGTTAAAGTCTATTTTTCCAGCCTGATCAGGAATTGTGCTTTTAATTTGTTTAAGCACTGTTTGAGATGTTTGAATATTTACCCAGTGTTTAATCCTGTATATTAATTTTACATAAGATCATGATAATCTTCATAACAAAAGAGGGAGAAAAATAGAATATTAAGAGGCCGAGGGAAAAGCCAGTTCTAGACTAGAAATACCAAAAGGAGACCATGAGACCAGAAACTACAATAACGAGTCATTTTTAGACTCAGCTAGAGAGAGGCAGGCTTAGTATTAAGATGTGGAAATCACAGGATGTAGGTGGACGTTTGAGTGTGTCAGTGAAGTATAATCTTTACATTGCTGTCCCTGTCTCCCTCAGGTGACAAACGTCTCTCAGACCTCTCCTTCGACGGAGGAGCAGGTGAGCTGATCCAGCCCCACGTCATCGACCAGGCCATCAACAGCGCCATCAGCTACCTGGGGGCTGAGTCACTGCGACCTCTGGTCCAGACCTCCCCAGCCTCCTCCTCTGATGTGGGCCTCGGCTCCATGTACCCCCTCCACAAGCCGGCGCCCGAGGGTCACACAGGGTCAGGCATGTCAGCCAAAGACAGCGCAGCTGAGAACCTGCTGCTGCTCTCCAACTCCAAGTCTGCATCCAGCGAGAAGGACGGCTCGCCCAGCCACAGCGGCCAGGACTCCACAGACACCGAGAGCAACAATGAGGATCGTCCAGGCGGGGCAGCATCCGGCCTCATCTACCTGACCAACCACATCACCTCGGGGGTGAGGAACGGCGTGCTCCCTCTGGTGAAGGAGGAGCAGCAGAGGCAGTACGAGGCTATCCGAGCCAGCATTGAGATGGCCTCCGAGGGCTTCAAGGTGGTGACGACAGACGGGGAGCAGGTGAGGGCGTACCGGTGTGAACACTGCCGCATTCTCTTCCTGGACCATGTCATGTACACCATTCACATGGGCTGCCACGGCTTCAGAGACCCCTTCGAGTGCAACCTCTGCGGTCACCGGAGTCAAGACCGATACGAGTTTTCTTCTCACATAACAAGAGGGGAGCATCGCTACTGAGCTCCACCCCCATCGGCCAGAGAACACACACAGACAAACAGGTGAACATACGGAAAACATGCCACCACACTTACTCATGCATCTGAAACAAATGCATAGAAATACAAAATGTAAAATACACTGTTGATGTCTGAAAGATGTGTTTTTTATACAAAGTATGCATGTTTGTTAAACACAAATAAATGTACAACTATTAAAAAAAAAACATTTATTTTCCTTTCCACGCTCAAAGGGAAGAGTAGTTCATCTGTCTTTTTTTAAAGGAACTAAATAATGTTCAGTGAAGACAACACAGCAGAGTTACTGTGCCACATCTTACATAGGTTTTAAATTATGTATTTACACTTGCCACGTGTATAAAAATGTATAAACGTGTCTTTTCTTTTGGAAAACCAGGCAGCAATAGAAAAGATTTCCATCTTCACTGAAGTGTCTGAAATGTCAATAAAAGATTCCATTCTGCAGTTGTTTTCAGTGCCAGAAAACTACTTTAATATTAGATACGATCAATAAAAAACAATCAATGTAGATAACCCCACATTTCCTCCCAAAAGTTTCAACCTGTTCTTGTATTTGTAACAACCTACATATTATTTATATCACATATACACGCCTGTCTGTTTTTGTATTTATTACAGTGATTGATGTTTGTCTGTAGAGTAGTTAACAAAAGCTGCATCTTTCTGTCCAACTGTACGAAACGTGTTAGAGGTGAAAACATGACCGCTGCTGGAATTTATTTTTTTCATTTTATCCGAAGAAAATGTTATCCTGGCCTTTTGTTTTGTACCTGATGGCTAAGAATTGATATACACTTACAAAATGAAAATGAGCCGTTTGAGGTTTGAAGGAGCTTTATGCTTGCAAAAATATCAATAAAGGATATTTTATATATGCACAAAGAGTGGGGAAGTGTTTTGTTTTTATTGAATGAGTGTAGTAGCTGAATTTATAGTTGGCTCACGGACCTGCAGCTACATGGGATCATCTGTATATATTCATATGTATGTTTTTAATAGGATATTTTTTTCGTTACTGGGCTATATGATCCACGTGTCAAAGAATATGGAAATGTCCACATTAAATTGAAAATGATTCCTGGAATTCATGAAAAGTTTTGCAGAGTTTCACCTTCTTTAGAAATATGGAGATTTCATTTCACACTCTCGAACCTTCTGAAATAATTACTTTTAGATGTCATTCAAGATGCTACTCACTCCTACCTGTCAGGGAAGAGCCAAGAAAGAGTGAATGACTGGCATTTGAGTACAAAATACACAAACACTGAACACACTGAAAGAAAATGTACAGTGAGAGGTGAATAAATAAACACCTCCCTACACACTGTACAATTATCATGTTTGGTTTCAAAGTATTTAGATTTGAAAAAAAAAATCTAATTTCCATGGTGTGTTTGTAGATATAAGCAATCCTTTTTACATTTACAACAAAAGCACATTTCTTCATATTATCTATAATTTACAAAGGATGCCGAAAAGACAGAGAACATAAGGTTAACAGATCACAGTGACATTTGTCTGCACAGAGACCCTTGTGTTAAAATTGTGACACCAAGAGAGCACTGGCAGTATGAGCAGCACACACACATAAGGGGGTGTATGAGTGTGGAGACCCTCCGTGCGCTCACACACACACACACACCAGCATGCCGACATGTGCCATGTCCAGGACCTGAAGAGTCTGGTCCTCTGAGGAACGTCAGCAGCAGAGAGCTGGGACAGAGAGGATCAGGCACTGGAGCAGAAGGCAGGGGCCGGGGCTCTGAAGGCCAGGCCTGTCTGCAGAGGCACAGTCGGGCCGGCAACAGGAGCTCAGCGGCGTTGTGCGGCGACAGCCTCATCCAGATGGCTGCTGTGTGATTTAGCAGAAACGGGAAGCAGCTGTGGCCAGCGCTGAGTCCCCCACGCTTGACTGGGACCCAACAGGGGAGGGAGGGCATTTGCATGAGAGGGATAATCTGGCCAACCAACTCTGGCCCTGCCAGAATCCCAAATCTCACTTCCCCTTTCAGCCAGATGACTGAAATACTCCTTTAAGAATCAGACCTCACGAGTTCCAATAGTGCTGTTAACATGATCCAACAAGATGTTACTGGGCTACTCAAGGTTTTTCACACTTTATATGACTGTGTCCCATTAATGGATGGCCATAACAGAACACACTGTTTTAACTTTTGCTTCTCAACATGTGTGCATCAAGTGTGTGGTCTTTACCCACTAACTAAATGGCTTTACTTTGGTATAATTTTGAGGTACTTGTACTTTACTTGAGTACTTCTATTTTTCTTCTATATTTCAGAGAAAAACAGCTATAGTTACTAGATACTTTTTTGGATCAGGATTGTACAGTAAATACACAGGGTTAGATTAAGATAAAACCAGTGGTTCCTAAACCGTCTGGCTTGTGACAATGTTTGGGGCTTTCTGTCATGTCTCAGATGTCAGTGAGCTGTTAGCAGTTCCACTAAAGACACATTGCCCCTCTAAACTTGTCATGTGATTTTATTTGAACTGTTTGAGGCCCAAAGTGGTAAAAGTGTCCACTATTTAACAAACAAAAAAAAGATTAGAGAAAAGAAAATTATATAAATTTGTATAGCAGAACCTTCATGCTGTACATAACTAGTAGTTTTCTGAAATAAAATTACTCTGGATTACATGCTGCAATGATTCATATGAATCCCTGGTGAGTGTGAAAGCAATTTCAATCCAGTGTGTAAATGGCGGACCCCACCACCAACATTTAAAGCTAATATACAAAGAAATACTTACACAATGTAAATGCATTTAATGGGAGTTGCTGGAAAATGTATAGATTTATAAACGGGTTATATCCTGAAAAACTTATCACTTCAAGTACATTTTAATGTGAAATACTGGTATGCTTTTACAACTCTTGGTGTAATGGAGTATTTTTTACATTGTTATACAGATACTTTTAAACTTTTAAAGGTTCTGTAAGTTTTTCCCATCACTGTCTGTATCTGATCTCTCAACAACAATGTTCCAAACAGGCAACATAAAGCAATTTAAAAAAAAAAAATCATCCCCATCTACATATTACTTAAATACTCAGCTGATACATTTCTACCTCAATTTTAAATGTCAGCATTTCAAAATTTGAATAACAAGCATATAGGCAGTAAAATTTCATACATATTTGATTTTCTTTTTCAATAAACATATTGTAAATGTGCATTTGTGACCACACAGCCCCAGATGTGACCACTGCTGCTGTCATAGTCGAATTGAGCTACAAGCTTACACCATATGGCACAGTTTTCAGTACATACTCTATGGATCCCACCAGCACCAGAGGAATTCTGTGCATCTGTCCCAGTCCAGCTGTGAGGAGTCCCTGCATTCAGAGATGCCCAACTGGGGGGTTGTGTGACGATTTTCGCTGCTGGCTAATTCAACAAAGTTTCAATACAGTGGCCAACCACACACGTCTGAAATATTTATCAGGGACTAGACAAAAAGATGAAAAATAAATGAAAGTCTTTTCTCATGGTCTTCCAGATTTTCAAAGATTGTTTCATTAAATTTACATGAGAATTTCATTTCATGTGTGCACAATCTATAATGGTCCTCCTCAATAGCACACTGTATGTTTGACAAGTGAGGCAGGCAACTCAAAAAGCATCAACAATGTTACGCATCTCTGTTGACAAGACTTGGCGATATTAACCAGGTTTCTACTGTGTGAAAGAAAGCAAGTGGCTGTCTTATTTATTAATACTGATAGCTGAGAAATTAACAGAACAGACAGTCTTAAAATATATGTCCACTACACTAGCCAAGGACTCAGTGAATCACAAGGAGTACTAAAATTTTAATTATGAAGCTCACGCTTATTGTCTAATAAAAGGGATGTATTGCAGTAACAGATTTTCCTGCTTAGTCCACGCCTTAATCACTAACTTTTTTTAAACACGTGACCCAGGATACTCTCCGTGTTGCCCAACTTCCGTGGATATGATTAGTACATCCAGACAGGACAACAAAATATTAGAGATGTGCAAATAAAGCACTAAACAAAGTGATCACACTGCCCTCTGTGGATTAGACTGGAATGAGGATCAAGAGGGGAAACACCACAATACACTGCGGATAAACTTACTATGGATGTGCTTAAATCCTGAGACATAAACAAACATGTACATGAGGGGAAAATTTTCATTTTATTAGGAAAAAAAGGAATTGAAACAAAATACAGCAATTCCAAAAGTTGAGATTTGACTTACAGTTTATGATATAGGTGAGAATATCTCTGGGCATGAATGTTAAACCTTAAAATTATCAAAAAAGGATGCTAATTGCCATAAAGGAATTTAAACAGAAACCAGTACTTCATTAGGAACACAGTTTAAGCACACAACATGGTGCCTCGTGCTTACACAAAACAACAAAGCAACAGTAAAATGAATATCCAAATAAAACAATTAGGCCATTACAAATAATTAAAATGCATAGTGTAAACTGTTGGGAACAATTTGCAGAGCATTTTCTCCCTACAGAAAAATCTTATTCTCTCTCCACAGAGATTACAATGAACGAGGATAAATATGGCAAGTATATGGCTGCTTTTCAAAAGTGTAGTTACAACAGCCTATGGTTCACAAAACAACAAGCTGGTTGCAAAGACATTAAGTAATCAATTAAAATGCTAAACACACTGGGGGTGGACGAATTAACAGAAAACCCTGCTCATTACAATGCAAACTAACACACATCTCTGTGTATAGAAAACTATCTTTGTGAAGCTTATATTTTTTAGGCTTTTAGGTGAGACTGTGTCACAGAGTTGTTGATGCACTGGTGAGGTAATTTTATCCACATTCAACTTTACAGGGGTAAAATCAAGAAGAGGAGCCAAGCTTAACGTCCACATCCGAAAGTCTTATTCCACTCTTCATACAGCTCTAAGTCTTTTGATGAGACACTCGGTCGTACTGTTTTAAGGGCCTCCTGGAAGTCATTGTAGAGGATTGGTCGCACCTGATCTGCAGTGATAGTGGCGATGTCACTGAGCTGAATGCTGCGGATAGGCCCCAGCGCTGCCTCTCGGCACAGCTGAGTCATGTCAGCCCCTGAGAAGCCCTCAGTGGCTGTTACCACGCTCTCCAGCTCTGACTCTCTCAGCTGGTTCTTCTCTTGAGCCATGAGGTTAGTTACTATCTGCCTTCGGGCGCTTGCCTCAGGCAGGGGGATGTATAACCTCTTTGCCAGGCGTCGCCGGGCAGCCTCATCTATCTCTTGAGGCCGGTTGGTGGCGCCCACCACCAGGATGCGATCCTCAGCTGCTGTGGCTGCCCCGTCCAGCTGAACCAAGAACTCTGTTTTTATCCTACGTGATGAGTCATGCTCCCCGTCTGTGCGTTGGGACAACAGTGAGTCAATTTCATCAATGAAAATGACAGCAGGCTGGTGGCAGCGAGCAATTGCAAACAGGGCTCGCACCATTTTTTCTCCCTCACCCACCCACTTGGATGTGAGTGATGAAGCACTGATGCTAAAGAAGGTGGCACCTGACTGGCAAGCTATGCATTTTCCTATCAGAGTTTTTCCAGTCCCTGGGGGTCCAAATAACAGAATACCTTTGGGTGGACCGCGGAGGCCAGTAAAGATATCAGGTCGCAGCATGGGCCAAACAACAATCTCCTTTATGGTGGTCTTGGCAAACTCCAGGCCTGCTATGTCATCCCAGGCAACAGGAGGCCCGTGGTCCATGATCTCACTCATGATCAGCTCAACTATCTTTGGCTCAAAGTTTTTCAGACGTTCATCCAGGATCTGAGGTTCCTGATTGGAAATACGGCTCACCCCTCCTTCTTCCTCCTCCTGTCGTGGCATGGGTGACACAAATTTAGAAAATGTACCTCGAGGCCTGTTAGCACCCAGAGATTTTTTTATAGTTGCTGCCATCCCAGTGGTCTGACCTCTCTGGGGCTGATTGGAGTGTTTTTTCTGTTGATCAACAATAAATTGCTCACGAGCCGTTTTAAAGGTGCTTCCAGCTCGCTGATCAGTGCCTGCTTGACCTCCATGTTGCCCCCTGCCACCATCCCCTCCATCTGAGTTGTAAAAATTCTTCCGCTTAGATGGGTTGGAGGTGGGGAAGAAGGTGGACTGATGGTTTTGTGTGCCCCCTGTAGGGCCAGAGTTTCCCTGTGGAAGAACTGAAGAAGAATGACTAAACACGGACTGTGGTCGGGCTGGAGGTCGGGAGAAAGAGTTTGGATTAACTGACATCCCATCAGAGCCTCTTGGCCTCTCTAAAGTAATATTAGCAGCAGGACTATTGACCTCTGTCTTTGGCTGTGGTTGACCTATGGGTTTGAACAATGCAGCCTCTGACCTGACTCCGGCAAAGGGAGCAGACAGAGAGCTGCCTCTGCTCTCTTGTCCCACAGTTATGTTAACGTCTTCTGGTGCCACCAGGGAGCCTCCTCCCCCTGCCCCTGCCTGAATCATCTTTTGCACGCAGGGCAGCTCCAGCACACTCTCCATAGTCAGGGATGACTCCCACTTATCACTGTAGTTCCTCTGACTGCGGGCCAGATGCAACGCACTCTCTGCATAGTTGTTGAGCCCTGTGCGGGGGTCATCCGAGTCCAGCACTGCTGCGTAGTGCTCCGAGTTGGTCCTGAGCAGGCTGGCCATGCCGGCCTGAGAGAGCTGGGAGCTTGCCCATGCATACTGAATGGAGAGGATATGGGCCCGGTAGGCATCGGCCGTCTGTTCAGGTGTACAGTTGCCAGATGAAATGTCAAAGGACCTCCTCTGCCATTCGTCCAGATGTGGGCCACTCATGCCTGGCCTGCTCCAGTCTGACGAAGGAGAGGGGACAAAAGTTATTAAAAATACATGGTCTCAGTAAAAGCCAAGGCACACATCACCCCTGACCCATACACATAAAAAAGTTACATCTCAATGCATTACATTCAGTGATATGTACGGGTATCTGATACAGGGATCCATCTACTTACTACTGCACTACCATTAACTTCAGGGACTCACAAAAACAGATTTAAAAAACATGGTTACAATTGAAACAGCATAAGCTGAGACATCTTGACTTTATGTCAACAGCATGGCTCAAGTTCCAAAAAAGCTGCATCCCAATCATTAGCATCCAAACTCAAAAGCATCCCTGCAGTATCATCCTCCCTGCCTGGTAATGCCAATATCTTTGAAATTCCATACTTCAATTTCAAAGCATGCTTTGTAAGTGTCCACACCTAAGCTGAGGCAAGCTCTTAATATAAAAGGGTTGTTTTCTCAGTCTTGCCAAAGGTCAATATTAATTGTTTCATGGGATGAGAAGCTTAGTACTAATCTTGAATCTCCTAGAGGGAAGGTCACAGGCAACGCTGCTGCAATAGCGTTCGGGTAAATTCAGTAAATAGACAAGGAAACCTAGCTTAGTCCTCGTGACATGCAGTTGTGACCAGTCCATAGACGGGTCAAACTAATTTAAGTTACAGACTAACCACTAACGTTACACATATTACACCGCACCACACAACAGGCCACAATACTGAGGATGGCGACGGACGACACTTACTATCAGGGATATCTTCTGATATTATGACAAAATAAATAAATGCTACTCAACATTTACAAGTTTCATAACATCAACTTGCTGAGAGCTGCTGTATTTTTAACTCGCCGTTTAGTAGTTCCCGCCGCCTGCCTCTTCAGCAACATTATGACTTCCTGTCGCGTTCCAATTCGTTTGTGTAAAACCTATATTAGTCTCTTAGTATCGCTTTCATTTAATAAAGACACCCAGCCACAACCAAAAAAAAAGTTTATCATCATTCAATCGACATAACGCCAATTTATGATTGCATTATAAAAATAGTACAGATATAGGCACAGGCAAATAACTTATTTGAAAATAGTCGAACGGGACCCAAAAACTTGTCACAACTGGGGAGTGCTCAATTTATCCCCTAGGTTCGCCCAGATAGCGGCCATTATGTGTTCATTTGTATTTTACTCCACTCTAACAACTCCCGCGTAAAGCCTCTTGATTAATGAAATTATAAAATATAAACTACGAGTTTAGACAACCCCCTTTTTTGAGTTTTAAAACTTCTTTTCTCTGGATCGTAGTTTCAACACATGAGGCCGACCTGCTAATTTAGTCAGGTCTGTACCGCCATCTTGTGGCTACAACAAGCTAAACCATTGTAATGAGTAGATTGTCGTTTTATGTGTTGCTTTCTGGGAAATGTAGTACATACCCTATTGAAATTCAGTTGGGTACTAAATTCTTACATATATTTTTGTAATAAAGGATACATATACATAAATTGGACTCCAGCTTGTGTCTGTTTACTTTTATTGTGTGTAAGAAACATTTATTTATCAATTACTCGTGACATTAGAGTGCACGTAAACTACACTGACCACAACCGTAAAGCTTTTTGTTTATGCTGTCGACATTGGATGACAGCGACTGCCGAGCCTCAGAGAATAAAGCACACCCGCCGGTGGGAAAATAGGCTGCGTTTGTGATACTGTGTAGCTAACTAGGTAGATAGTTAACGTTTGGCACTATCTATAATTAAAGTCGTTGTCTTTGAGGAAAGAAACCGGAAAAGTTTCCTGGATAGCTGTTCATTGTGGTCGCAGCCCGTTAGCTAAGCTAAACCGGAGACGGGATCTTAATTAATCCAGACGGGACCAGCCCCAGGAACCGGCAGCAGCAGTCAGTCACACCCTTGTCTGGGGTTAGTGGACGAACCCTGTCTGCGCAGCAACCTTAAATTGCTACCCTTCACATGTTACATTGTTATATACAGATGCATGTTAGCCTCAGACTGCTGAATTGGAGCTTCAGAGCAATATTGTGAGTGAACTGGGAAGTGTGGACTAGATATGACTGACTCATCATCATGGCACGGGCAGAGGAGATAACCCTGAACAGTCCGTCTGCTGCAGTGCCAACCAGACAGCCCCATAACTAGCCAGACAGCTAAGTTATTTACACATCCAATCGTTTCTATTATATACTCCCCCTGGTAGTCAGCTTGGTAATATGAACACCCCGATGTACACATTTGTCACCCGTGACGACAACAGCACCATTTATGCAGAAGTTTCCAAAATCCTCGTCTCGACTGGACAATGGAAGAAGCTGAAAAGAGACAATCCCAGATTCAACTTAATGCTCGGTGAACGGAACAGACTGCCCTTTGGACGTCTTGGTGAATATATATTTTCTTATTTCACATGATGCTGACAGCAGAAAAGCCTCTTTGCTGCTATATTTGGTGTACACCCACTCAGGATGAGACAGCTGCTGTGACTGCAGGGCTGCCTGCTCCAGCATCCTGTGGAAAGTTTTGACTCTTATTTAAATGTGCAATGGAGGCTCTGAGTGTGCACGTGGGAATTTTCATGCATTTTAACCTCTCCTTCCTTTTGGACTTTACAGGTCATGAACCAGGACTGGTGCAGCTTGTGAATTACTACAGAGGAGCAGACAAGCTTTGCAGGAAGGCATCCTTGGTCAAGTGTGTATCTGTCTTTTCAATGACATGTCCTCTGCACCTTTTGCCGTCCTTCATGTTACTAATGTAGTTTTGTGCAAATGAATTATTCAGAGGGAGTTACATTAGCTGACCATTGCCCTTCTGTACCATCAGGCTAATAAAGACCAGCCCAGAGCTGTCCGACTCCTCTAACTGGTTTCCAGAATCCTACATCATCTATCCCACTAACCTCAACACCCCTGTTGCTCCAGCTACAAATGGCATTAGTCATCTGAAGAATAATCCCAAGACAGATGAGCGTGAAGTTTTCTTGGCCTCTTATCACTCTAAAAAAGAAAGTGGGGAGGGCACGGTGTGGATAGCCAAGTCTTCTGCTGGAGCTAAAGGTAAACTCTATTATCCATGTTTAAATCCTAGATACAAGTAAGCAGACATTTTCCCCTCTGTGTCTTTTCTTCAAGTATATTAAAATGAATCATAGATAACATGCTCTTTCTGAGCTATTTTTAAGAGAGCCCATTTTTTGTGTGACAGATTTTGTGTGACCTACTGCTTATATTTTAAAGTATGGCAGATGACATCAGTAGCAGCTTTTCATATTTCTTTCTATTGCAACAGGTGCTGGTATTTTGATATCCCATGATGCTAACCAGCTGATGGAGTACATTGATAATCAGGGTCAGGTTCATGTTATTCAGAAGTACCTGGAGAAACCTCTGCTCCTGGAGCCGGGACATCGGAAGTTTGACATCAGGCAAGTCTTTGATGCTTAACCCTCAGAGAATGTACTGATCTTTAATGACTATGTAATTGAGGCTTTTATGGGTTATGTTATGTTAATTCTATAGGAGCTGGGTGCTAGTGGACCATCAGTACAACATCTATTTATACCGGGAGGGTGTGCTACGGACGTCCTCTGAGCCCTACAACAGCTCTGACCTCCAGGACATGACCAGTCACCTCACCAACCACTGCATCCAGAAGGAGCACTCCCTGAACTACGGACGATATGAGGAGGGGAATGAGATGTTCTTTGATGAGTTCAGGCTGTACCTGCTGAACACTCACAATGTCACCCTGGAGAGCACCATATTACTTCAGATCAAGCAGATCATAAAGTAGGTTTTTCTTGTTTTTGCTGCTGTTTTTATTTTTGGATCTCATCCAGTAGAAAGCATAGCTTAACTTTCTCACATCACATTGAAAACTTAAACACATAATGTTTTTTTTCATTCATAGTTGTGTGGTTGGAGACATTCTCCAAACTCTACTACTGAAACATTTGCAGAGTTTACAAGTCAAATCTGTCGTAGTTGACGGTGTGAGTAAAATATTTGTTGAAGTTCTTTGATTGGTCAATGACATTTTACTCTTATAGATATCCAAATATAAACGAGAGGAAAGATGAGAAAACTTGGTTGTTCAAGGGTGTATATGGCAAATGTAAAAGCCACTTAATTCAGCTTTGCAAATAAGAAAAATTGTCACTTCTCCATACCATAAAATCATATTTGTGGAACTCTGATTAGATTCTTAATGAAAAACAAAAACACAGTATCATTAGTGATTCATTTGCCAGGTGCTTTGGCTTTCAGATTCTGCCTTTAGGCACTTGCGGGCAACATGCCAACATTACCATTGTGAGCAGGTGAGCATGCTGATGTGAGCAGACACCCTGTTCACATCCCCAGGTCATCAAATACCAACACATTGTCACGCCCCTCAGTGTGTGATATCGATGCCAAAGGAAGCCTTTAGTGTCTTTATGAGATGAACTGAGCATTCATCTAACTCCAGTGTAAACTCATCGACAGCAATACCTGATGCTGAGAGCAACTGACTTGGTATAAAGAGCGAAAGTCCATATAAGGCGAGAGGGAGGTGAGGTGGATGGGTTAAACAAAACAAGACTTTCACCCAGGAGACGGCAGTTCATATCCCATGTGAAACACAAAGTCAGTGTTGTTTCAGTGTAACGCTACCTAAATTATGTTCCGTCATGCATACTTTTTCATTATTTCATGTACTTATTTTAACCCAAAACATAGTCTTTGTTTCTGAACCTAACCAGGTAGTTTTGTTGCCTAAACCTAACCGTGACTGTTTTACAACATTATCCACCTGTTACAATTTGTTTCAGCTGTGCGTCACATAGAGACGCTAAAGGGTGCATTGTGTGTTGCTTTGATGCTGAGGGGTTTGACAAAGTTTCCATATTTGACAACCTGGGAAAATGAACAGGGTGCAGTCAACTCCTAGTCTTGTTAACTGCAGTATGAGTGAGAATAAAGCTCTTAACATCTGACAGCTGACTTTTGGTTTAAAACATGTTAGCCACTGACACTCTGAGGTTTTATTATCAAGACAGTAAAGGCAAATTTGAATTTAAATAAATGTACGTGAAATTTAAAAAAGCAGCATCATAAAGCAGGAATATTAATATACATACAGTATTAGTAATTGTTGTGTATTGCTTCTTAGACATTAAGTCAGTTGCTACTGTGAAAATATGAATTTGGTGTCTATCAAATACCAGCTACCATCACTTGCAGCAAAATTTCGGACCTTTGCACCTCCTTTTTATTGTGCATTTCCTTTTCAAATGGCAGTAGCGGCCTGAAAAGGTCAGCAATCACTTGCTGCCTGAAATGTTCCTAATGAATTCAAGTGTTTGCACATGGCATGACGTTGTTTAGGTGTTTGTCTAACAGCCAGAAGATTGGAAATGATTTTGCTGTCTGGTTTCACAGGAGCTGTCTGACATGTATTGAGCCGACAATCAGCACCAAGCACCTGTCCTACCAGAGCTTCCAACTCTTCGGGTTTGATTTTATGGTGGACGAGAGCTTCAAAGTGTGGCTCATTGAGATCAATGGAGCTCCAGCCTGTGCACAGTCAGTAACATTTAGCTGAATATTCATGTCTTAGCATTGCTTTTAGTTTTACTCGTTGGCTTTACTTTTCCCACTGTTTTCCCACTTATAATTCTTACAGCCTGGTACTCTTCTACTTTTCACATCTATTCCTGCACTCTGCATTTAGACACACTTGTTTGCCTCTGTTTACAATATGGGGATAAGAAGCTTTGCATCTATTTCCCTACGTATCTAAAAATGTCTTTGGTGGAATGTTGGAATATTTGTTTGTTTGTTTTTCTTCCATGGCAGGTCAGAGTCAGAAATAGGAAAGCTTTGAAAACGTAACCATTGTTTCAGAGCTACACATTTGAATGTTGTTCCTCATGAATTTCTAATTTTGAAACTTTGACTCTCAGTGAAGTTGATGTTTTTCAATGCAAAAATGTCCCGGGAATTAATTTCCAATGCTGGATATGAATTCACTCACAGCTAACTGTGGGTTGTGAGTGTTTCCAATAGACTTAATTCAAACTCATTTATTTAGAAACAAGTGCGAGGGCCAGTTGACACTCCTTTTATTTCTTCCTCCTCCAGGAAACTATACTCAGAGCTATGTCAAGGTATCGTGGATGTGGCCATTTCCAGTGTCTTCACCCTGAACAGTGGCGGTGACTCCTCATCTGCTTCCTCTTCACCTTATTCCTCCTCCCCATCCTCCACGTTCTCCACCAACTCCTGCTCCTCTCCCAAACTGAGAGGACCTCTTAACGTGGGCCCTTTCACTCGACTGTAAGCACACAAGCAATTATTCCCCTCGTCTCATTGTCACAGCTTCTACATCCTCTGTCCTCACTCCTAAACTCTGCCAGAGAAGTAGCACGTGCCAGAAAGCCGAGCCTTTAATTGTACCTTCCCTGTCACGCCTGGAAGGAGTCATTCTTTCTATGGAAATCACTGAGCTGAGGAGATGGTCTCTGCTCTCCTGATTATGCATAATATGAATGTGAGGACGGTGATGAATGGATGAAAAAACTTTTGGGGAGTTTCTGAATGAGGACAGACAACCTTCCATCCCAGTCCCATCACCAGTTTCTCCACAAGCAGATTAATGGAGGTCTGAAGGATGCAGAGACGCTCTAAATGAGACTGTAGTGCCTTACATTTTCAGCCACGCTCCCTTAAAAAGACTGCTAGTTAGCTTGCTCTGTTACTGTGACTCGTACTTGTTCTATAAGCCTTTGCACTGTTGCTCAGTAAAGTCAGTGTGGTCATGATCAGCCCACAAGAATTAGCATAAAACTAATTTCTTAAAATTTGAGATCTTAGTAAACGTATCATTTTGAATGTTAATTTTCTCACCAGACATGTTTCTGTAGCCTGGGAAGCAGACAAATCTGCAAACTCCTGTTCAGACAGATTTACAGCCCAGCCAACCTGGCCTGGGTCAAGCCAATCACAGCCGCGTGTTTCAAACAATGACTGACAACTTGCGCTTCAGGGCACGGTCACACACATGAGCGAATGCAGGCAAGTGACCATCGCCTGCCAAAGTGATATTTGTTCCGATTGTGTGCTATGCCGGATGTGACAAACACGGGAAGCTAGCTTTATAGCTAATCTTAGTTAGCTTGCTAATAAATACAGCGAAATATGGTGTTATTGGTACATCTTCCATTTCCTTACGTTCATGCCAGTTTCCCAACTCACTGCCAGCCAGGCAGCGTTTTTCATGTGGGGCAGTATCGACTGGTTAGACAAAACAACAGTCAATGCCTCCTCAACACTTTGTTTGCTACTGGATGAGGCTGCGGCTTCGAAGGTCTCAGTTCACTAAAGTTGAACTGCTTTGCCAACAGAAGCAAGTTTAATTCTCCCCTCAGCTCACAATAAATAGAAGTGAATGGGAGGTGAATATTCACCAATATGACTGTGCTCTTTGGCAAAATACGTGATGATGTAATAATTGGCTTGTGCACACTTGCGCGGCAGGTCTGTGACAGTGGCCATAAACTTATGAGAAGACGGCTGCAGCTGATGTGGAACTTTCTGTTAACATACTATTTTTAAATTCTAATGAAAAAACATGACAATGCCAAACCATCACAGCTCATTGGTGCACGCTGTAGTCTGTTTACATTTGTTCATTGCTCAGTGCTACGTCACGTTTCATTGGTCTAACTAGATCTATCCAATTGTGTCCAGAGGCATTTTGGTCTGTGGCCAGTGACGTCTCTTGGAAATCAAAAACAAACTGAGAGGTTTCAAACTTGCAACTTGCAATGCAATTTATTCTTGCAAGGTCAGGCTAACGTTAATTATTTCTTACCTTTTTTTATTGCAGCTTGCCTGCAGCTATCTGTACCCATTAGTTTCAGTCAGGAATGTTAAAAATGAAGACAGTACTAAGATGTTTAAGCTTAGAAAGACTAATGTACTAACCCAACGTGTCTGATGAGCTGAACATTCAAGATGTCTAGGTTTACTTTGAAAATCAACATTCCTCTTAACTTGACCATGTGGACACTACATATTATTTACATTCAGGGCAGCTGGGTGGCACGAGTGAACAGGGAGATTGTCCTTCATCTGGTAAACCCAGGTTTAAGTCCGTCCTGACAAATGTTCCTCACCCTGAGTATTAGCCTACATTATTCAGTTCTTAACCTATCCTTTACAAAATAGTCCATCTGAAGACATGTTCGATGTTTTATTTATCATTTGAAGAGAGCATGTTCGTGTGAAAGCATGTAGTAGAATGGATCGTCAAAAAAGTCCCCACGGCACCTTTTGGCCCCGTTTGTAAAGAGCTGCCCATGTGTGTGTTTTATCTCTGATCTGTGAAAAGACTGTCATTGTAAAGTGTTGTCAACATGTGTGTGGATTATGTTTTTGAAGTGTTGTAATGAAGGTAGACTAGATTGTACAGTGTGTGAAAGACCCCATGAAATGAAACTGACTGGACGCGATCAGTATTTGTAACATAACAGAGCTGATGGAGACAGAAAAAACACAAACGTACACTACTTCATACTTTTTACACTAGTCTTGTAAAAGCATACTGTGTCAGATGTGTTATTACCAAAGAAAACTCAGCTTTCTTTCACTTTTATCAGAGTTGCATTTCATGACTGATTTTTTTGTTTGTTTCATGGGGTCCTTGAAATATATCAGTCCTTAATTTTTCTTTTAATCTTTGCTAATAGATGAGACTTTAGGTGTGACTTACATCTAATCTATTTCATGTTTTTGTTTGTTAGAAAGTAATGTTTAGTTTATCCTCAGACATGAAACTTTAAATTAGCTCAAAAATTGTGACAGCTGCACGCTGGGTAGCGGATTCAACAGTTGTGTCTCCAGGGGCTCATTTTAGAGAATATATTTCATTTCACACTAAGTCATTATTATAGTCTCTGATGATGTTAATCTCTGCTGTTCCTCTCTTTGAACCACAGTTCAAATGTGTGAGGCTTTTTCTTCCCATGTTGTTAAGTTGTATAAGTTAAGGGACACCATTGAAGCATTAATTTATGTTTTTAATCACTGTGTATTTGTGTTTACAAGATGACTCTGGGAACTGAAGGATATGTAAGTGGCTGAAGGTCAGACAGATGGAGTCGTTACAGAGCAGTGTCAAGAGACTGAGTTATTATAAAGATTAATCCCAGTAACATATGATGAGTCCGTTACTGTGATGTATTGCGGAGCCCTGATGTAGCTGAAATGATGTTTGAAAGTTTGAAAAAATGCCAGTGTTAGCAGAAAACTGGCATTTATAATTGGTCTACTGTATGATTATGTTGGCAAATGGGTTACATGTACGCTGATTTTTATTAAGTATGAAAACCAAACTATCAGTATTTGTTTTATTAAATTTGTAGGGAAACGTCTTTCCATCAAAGGGAAGGGTGCCTTAGAGGGAATTGCATATTGATAAAAAAGAAGCAATGGACCTCCATCGTTTTAATGCACCTTCATTTGTTTGTATCAAAGTGATTTTGCCTCATTCATTATACATTTTAAATTAAACTTAATGTCATTTTCTCAGTTTATCATGTTTTTCCTCATATTTTTCCTCATCTTTACCAAAGATCAAACTCCTGCTGTATTTTCAGTGTCAGATGATGTTTTGTAGTTAATCTGGATGTTATCACATCAATTGGCCAACATGATCCAAAATCCGGTATCATATTCAGAGGGATGTCTGTGCTGTGTTTTTGTTAGGTGATGTTTTATCCAGACTCTTGCATGAACGTTTGTCTTTATCAGAACAATACTACTAGAATAAAAAATATTCCTATTATCAAACCTCTGTCGTGTACATTTCTGCTTTACATGGTCCATTTGATATTTCCTCCTGCTTCCAGTCTCCATGCTAAACACATCCAAGATCAAGTCTGTACTGAACACAGACACAAGTCTTCTCATATGACTGAGTAAGATTTAAACAAGTACATTTCCCATAGTATTTGACTGTTCCTGTACTTTTCTATATGAAGCAACACTAAACATGATAAGTTTTTCTGGATCACTAATGGAGCTTGTGAATAGCATACACTGAGGGGGCAAAAAACAGAAACATGTAAAGGTTGATGTGATTTAATATAATACAACAGTCCTGTAGTAAATGTTCTGTTGACACTTATGTTACTTGTGTGTTGAAGTAATGTTTTAGAATTTTTATTTAATAGTTATGAGTTTCAATGTTTCAGAAAACAATGAAATTCCTGTTTGTGTGATGATATTGCATAATTGTACCACTTAGGCTCTGGTTAGATAACATATTCTTTCACTATTTCTGTAGCTATAACATGTTGTTTGTACGATAATAGTATGGAAGGATTACTGAACAGCCAACTGGGCACAGGCCCCAGGGCCTAAAGTGTCGAGGGTCCCCCTGACCTTCACCTGCGAAACGTCCCTTGAAGAGACACCAACTGACCAGGAAGATGCGAAGGGACTGCAATGAGAAACACCCTAACTACAAAAATGGACAAAACAATAAAGAGACACAAAATGACTTCAAAGAGACTCAAAACCACAATAGGATGCATATGACTACAAAGAGATGCAAAACAACAACAATAAAGAGGCTAAACTCCCACTAAGTCTGTGTTTCTGGCTCTTGTAGAAGAGGTGGTAGGGCCTTTTGCATATCTGTGCCCAGGGGCCCATTGTCTCATACTCTGCCTATAGATAAGAGGGTTGCGCTTACATGGGCACAATTATGTCACTGCTTTAAATTTTGCAAGCGTTTTGATTTGAGCAGCAAGGAAAAGAAAAAAAATTAATAAATTCAACAGGACAAAAGAAAATATGATCCTGCAGAGGAAATGCAATGTTTTCAATAGGCTGTAAAAAACTGAATAATAGGTGTATACAGTTGTCTTGGTAACTTTTTAAAGCAGTGCACATAATGTTTAAATGCCCTTTTTTTGAATGTAGGCCTATGTATAAAAATATGTTGACAATTTGAGGAACTACAATACAGAAACACCATTAGTTGAGTTTGGAAAAAAAGACACATGATAAACTTTTTTTTCTTAATTATTATTATTTAAGTAAGGTTATCAATGACTGAAAACAGATCAAATGCTGATCTACCTTTAACCCTGCGGCTGCCCTTTTTCCATCGCGAGATGCCGCCAGAGCGTGCTCCCTGATGACGTCATGTTTACAAAAGCCCAAATCCTCTATGAATGAAGGCAGTCCTCGCCGGGTGCGGTGGCGCGCGCCTGTAATCCAAGCTACCGGGAGGATGAAGCTGGCGGATCGTTTGAGCTCAGGAGCTCTGAGCTGCAGCGGACTATGTCGATCGGGTGTCCGCACTAAGTTCGGTATCGATATGGTGCTCCTGGGGGAGCCCAGGATCACCAGGTCGTCTAAGGAGGGGTGCACCGGCCCAGGTCGGACACGGAGCAGGTCAAAGCCCCCGTGCCGCTCAGTAGTGGAATCGCGCCTGTGAATAGACGCTGTAGTGCAGCCTGAGTAACACAGCGGGACCCAGTCTTTTTACACTCTGTATACTGTTCAACTAACAGCTGGGACAACACACACACTCAGCAACAGTGTGTTTATGTGTTACAGCAGCTTCATCACTGCTGCTTTATTTTATTGTTGCCATGAGAACCCTCACAAACCAGTTGTGTTTGTTTGTCCTACAGCGCCTCCACCTGGAGGAGAGAAGCAATGACCATCTTCAGTTCAGAACTGATGGCATCCATGAGGGTTGAAACGTATTCAAGAACTCTAGAAAATCCAGTCATTCATAAATTTAAAATTGTCTTTACTTTAACCATCTACATCATACAATTCTACATACAGTAATGTATGTAACACTGACAGGGGCTACTTCTGCAACTTTATTCAGGCAAGATTTTGAATGAAGAAATTCAGCCTATTCATAGTTGGCTATGTTTTTTCTTTTGACATTGCTACTTTTACTTAAATAAAACATGTGGTTCTTCCACCACTGCTTGCATCTCTCTGTCTCTGTGTGTGTGTGTGTGTGTGTGTGTGTGTGTGTGTGTGTTCATAATCAGCAGGTGCATGAAACACCAACTTACATGCACAGTCTGTGCAAATGTAAATCACAGATTCACAATCACTTGGTCCAGTTCTCTTCTCCATTTATTTACTTCAGCTAGGACACATTATTCAAAAATATAACCTATATATTCACTGTCATGCGAATGACACACAGATCTACCTCCCCTTAGAGCGAAACAACATCAACAAACTAAATGACCTCAATAACTATCTTCATGATATCAAATCCTAGATGGCCAGGATTATTTCTCTTCATCTTCATCTTCTTTGTACTTCTGACAAAGTCATCCATGCCTTCATATCCCCCAGCCTCCATTGTTACAACTTCTTATATTTTGGTATTACTCATAGCCTACTTGCTTATCTCATCTTCAATTAGTCCAAAATGCAGCAGCAAGAGTTTTAATAAGGTCAAAAAAGAGGGGGCACATTATCCCCATTCTGGCCTCCCTGCAATGGCTGCCTGTTAGCTACAAGATCAGTTTTATGATTCTAATGTTTGCCTCACCCCCTCTTACATCATAGAGCTCCTCTCCCCATATCACACTGTGAGAGACCTGAGATTGTCTGACCAAAGACTTCAGTCTGTCCAGAGATCCAGGACTAAATGTTACTGGGATATGACCTTACTTACTGCTGCCCCAAAACTCTGTAATTCTCTTCCTCCCACCATATGAGTCTCCCTACCACTGAGATTTTCAAGTGTCATCTTTAAAAACACTTTTACCCACTAGCTTTTAATTGTGCATAATGTGAGTGTCATTATTGCTGTTACTGTCATAATGTAGTGACAGTAAAAAACAAGGATACAGTTTTTGCTATAGGTGCAATAATAATAATGGCATGACATATTACTGTTAATAATATTTTATTGCTATTATCATCAAGTCAAGAGACAATTTAAATTTTAACTATATAATTCTCATCCTGTGTCTGTTATATTACATAGTATATTAACCACTCGTTCCTAGTGCCTCCTCTGCTCAATGTGATTGGTTAACCCAGCCACGCTCCTACTCTCATTGGCCGGACCACCTGTCACTCACAGAGGGCTGCCGGGGTCATTTCAGTCCAGCCGCCGCATATAGTTGTCACAGGTCATATCGGTACTAGAAAGTGAGACCAGAATGGCGGGACGTCTTCTTCTCCGAGCTAGTGTAACAACAACACTGCAGCTGAGGAGCAATGTGGTGGTCAGACCTCTACACCGTGCCATGGCCACCGTGAGAGGTACGAGTCCGTTTATTACCAACAAAACGAAAGACTTTGCTCCGTGAGACAGGCCCGCAGACAACGGTAACGTGAACAGCCCAACTGTCATCGGTCACGTACACAGGAAGAGTCGAGATAGTTAGCAGGGTGCTGTCAACGATATATATTTGGCTTATGGCGCAGTATGGTGGCTACATGTTAGCCTGTATCAAACAAGATGTCTGTAATGAGACGTTAGCTTGCTGCCACTGGTGCTATATCCTGTATAGAGGATACATTATATTGAATTTTGATACTAAATGTTTATTCGACACAAATAAATGTCTGTTTTTGGTCACCTTATGTGCTGTGAGATGGCTATGTTCCGCTTTAATGTGACAAAAACATTTGAATCATATAATTGAAGGTCATTTGGATTTTAACTCGTGAAAGGCCTTTGATAGTCCCTCCTCCTCTGGCAGGCGTCTCTTGGTAAGGTGCCAATATTCTGATAGGGTGCAGGAGGGAGCAGGTTGGTGGAGATGGCGTCCAGTGCTGACGTGCAGTTTAACTGATATACGTACACTGACAGCCCGACTGTAATGTACACATCACCTGACTGGATTACTTTGATTAATGTCTTTCAATTAAATTATCTCCCATATCCAAGGGTGCCACCTGGGATATTGGGCCCCACCACCACAGGCCATGCAATCCTGCACAAATACTGTACCCACACCTGCAGAACCCACTCAACCTATTCAAAGCTTTAAATAACTCTACCTTTGCAATATTATACATTTTACTCCTTTACATTTACATTTGATATGATGCTGTGTTATAATATGTAAGTATGTTGGCTCCACATTGACAAATTACAACATTAAAATAGTCTTACGCAAACAGAATCACATTTTATCATAACTTAAGGAGCTCATGTAATGATCATGTAATATTTCTGTGGTTATGATACTTTGAAAGAAGCCCAAATGCATCATTAGTATCTTTTATTTTTCATATTTTAAGTATATTTTGCTGATAAAAGCAAAACATTTTAAATCCAGGACTGTGGTACTTCTACTTTTACTTAAGTAAAAATCTGAGGAGTACTTCCAACACTGATAAGAACATCATAACCAACATTTTTCTTACTATTAACTGATCTGTCATTTGACAGAAAGCTACTCACCTCCGTCCTCAGGTGGGAGTAGCGCTGGTTCATTGATAGTGGAAGGTATGGGGACACAGGGCTGCTCAGGATAAAGCTGCAGCCATACTTTGGCCTGGTACCAGACATAGACAGGGACAACTGATTTAGTATAGATAGCTTGCGCAAAGTTTGCCTGTAATGATCAAAGGGTGGCGTAAAGGAGAAGAATGTAAACACTTTTTGTGAAGATACTAACTGTTCTGGGAGCAAACGTAGCCTGTTTGACTATGGAGACAACCTCATTTCCACCTCTCATGGTGACCCAACTTTCTTTATGAAGAACTGGGTGAGATACTGTCGCCCTTTCTTTTCTCTCTCCTGTTTTTTTTTTTTTTTTGCTAGTCAGATGTTTCTTTTGGGGGCTGAGACATTATGCTCAGTTCCACCGACACTCATCACTTCACTCTGCCCGGAGTACCATTTGCGCGAGGACTGAACCGTTTTATGAAAATATGGGGCGGAGGGTAATACAGAGGGTCTCTGGAGGTTAATTTTTTTTGTTTTGTTTTTTTTGCCAATAACAGTTTTTAAAAAAAGGAAAATGTTAGTATAAGTTAGCTTCTTCCCAATAAAATATTCTGTTAGTGATGATAGGTTTATGATCTTATATGAAAAGATTATTATTAAATTATAAAAAAAAGACTTAATGTTCTAATATTTTTTTAGGGCCCCTGTCAGTCACACGCCCTTACAATCATCCTAACTGTTCTTTCCCTAATGGTGCCACTGCCCATATCTGTTTTTCAGGAGTGCCAACAGATGATGAACAGGCCACTGGACTGGAGCGACGCGCCCTGCAGGCCTTCAAAAAGGGACAGGTAGGCTACAATACACACAAGTATAGTGTGCATAAACCTCAAGTGTACTGATTCTCTTTGACTTCAAATTACAGGATCCCTACAGTATTCTGAAGCCCAAGACGTATGCCGGCACCAAAGAGGACCCTCACATTGTGCCATGCATTGGAACCAAGAGGCTTGTTGGCTGTCTTTGTAAGTGTTGTACATTAAAGGGAAGGTCCAGTGCTCTGTACTGTATGAATGTGTACGTTTCAAACCAGGTGAACTATAATATAATTTTCTGCAGGCGAGGAAGACAACACTGCTATTGTGTGGTTCTGGCTTCATGAGGGAGATTGCCAACGCTGTCCTTCCTGTGGTTCCCACTATAAGCTGGTCCACCATGAGCTGCCCCACTGAAATGAAAATAAGCACAAGCTCTGTACAGACGGGACAGCACAGAGATCCATGCCTTCTTTATGGCCATATACTGCAATGTGTGCATATCAGTTATCATTAAAATGTATATCTGAACTGAACTGTCTTTATAGAGAGTTCAATTATTTAAGCTAGACTGGGCTACTTTTAGTGGTAGGACACTCACATGTCATTTACTGACATGCTTGAATTTCAGTAATCATGTTTGCATGCCATAACAGAGTAAAACTGTGACTTGGGACTATGAGCTGTTCCTTGCTTGACATACATAAATACTACACAGACATTAATGAGGGCTGTCTTGCCATGTTTTATAGGACCAGTGTGCAGGATTTAGGGGGATCTATTAGCAGAAATGGAATATTGAAAATTCAGAATTGTGTTTTCTACACTACAGGAGCTGATTTTGAGCCACAACCCCCCCCCCCAGTTTCTTAACGGTTCTAATGATCATCTTGTAAGATTTACCTGTGGTGCACGGAGTGTTTTTTGAGTCCCCCCATCTGCTTGGAAGTTCATCCTGGCTGTACTGATTTCAAATCACAAATATTAAACATGTTCATTACCAAGGATCACAGGTGGTCCCGTGAGTCTCAGAGGGTTTTAATGCAATATATCAATGGGACTCAACCAAGAAATTTGCTCACCTCCAGCTGTAACTTGTTCAGTCCATGTTCACATCATCTCCATGACTTAGTACTTTTGTTTTCTTCTTCACAAATTTCCTGTAAAAACTGGTGCAAAAACTAACAGCTAGGTCTTTCACCCATTGCCTGCAACATTTGTTTACTCTAAAGTTACGTTTGATCATGAGAGATTTACAAGATTTCGGGTTTTGAGAGTTGTGTGTTGTGCTGTTTGGCCAGAACGTTGCTCTCCACACACAATAGTCAAATTTGTTTTACATGTTCTGTGTGTCTCTGACATTTATCTCTTTAAGATTTGAAAAATCTAGTATTATTGTCCAGTCTTTAGAATAAGGCATTTATATCTAAAGAGGGAGTGGGTCCTCTTCTATGGAGCCCACCAAGTTTCACCTACTATGTTTCCTTGGTAGCCCAGACCAGACAAACCATACACTGGCCCAAGAGAGGGCCTGTCATATTTTTACATTCCCTGAGGGCAACCATAGGTCCCACTACATGCTTGGAAAGAAAGGGTTGGGGTGAGGAGTATATTGCAATCTGCAACCTCACCACTAGATGCCACTAAACCCTATAAACTGGTTCTTTCAGATGTGGTAGTACATTTATTCTAAGGGGCAAAAAGTAAAATGGTTCTGGTTAAAACAACTTTTTGCTGTAATACCCAAAAACAACAAGTTGCAATAAAGTGATGATCCAAACATCTCTTAAAATGGCTTAAAGGACAGTATTTTATCCCCAAAGTAACTCACATTGATTCAGTGGCTGTACTTAGTTTTTAATTTGTGGATTGTTTTCAGGTGGACAGCCATGAAAATCCACGCTGGATATAAAGCAAATGCTTGCTCTCAATCAAATGTCACAACAAAACTTATGTCAAACATAAAGAGAGTTAGTTTACATTGTCTGGGTTCAAACATTTAATACAAAGGGGGTTGACACAACATCATTACCTCCTGCAAAATATAATATGATTAACTGCAGTAGCCATGCAGCAACTACTACCACAGTGGAGCTTAAAATGTCACATTTCCATTAGGACCCTGTCAGAGAGGTATCGATTTAAATTTGGTCATTTTTAGGCCAAAGTGTAGTTTTTCTCACCAGTACAGACAGAAACATCTCACTATTATTTTCTAAGCTTCAGAAAGGTAGTGCTACTGCATTTCACTATATTTCACAGGTGTTGATGTTGCTATACGCATACCCTGCTCTCTCTCTACATAGCAGTTTGCTTCATCACACTCCTCATATCCAGACATGAATAAAATCATATCTATAAGAGTAATATCAAATGTGAATCAACTTGTAATAAGAGCATCAAATACTGTGATGGCATGGGAAAAAAGCTAGAAAATCAAAGTTAAGATTTCCTGTGAAAGTCCAACTCTTAATCAGTTCTAATGTCATGTGGCCTCCACCTCTTTCCACTCAGTGTTCAATTCTTACAGCAGCATTCAGACTGCGAAACAAGACATGTGGGAATGTGGTTGCCATCAACAGTCTGGACATGGAGTTCTAGGCATTTCTGTGTACAATCAGGCCAGATTAAAGCCTTGATTATGATCTATGGCCTGTAAAAGCTTCTCCCGGAGCGTTTCCCGACTCGTGTACTTAGGCAGGTCCAGCAGGTTGAAGCAGGTGTGGGCCACGGGCAGGTAATGCTCCCCTCCACCAGTGGGCTGGATGACCAACTTCAGGCTTTTCATGCCCAAAATGGGTATGCGGTCACTTCCTGTGAGGAACACTGTAGAGGCAAGAGACATTGTTTCACTTTTCCAGCTGAATCTAAGTAAATTCATCGTGGACAGCAGCACTTACAGAGAAACTGCTTTTTCTTCTCTAAAGGAAGACTGTGGAACACCTCCCAGAAGAGCCTGATGGTGGGATGATCCTTCCAGTACTCCCCTTTGTATTCAGTGCTCTGAAGGGTGGAGATAAAAGTTAATTGTACTATTTAAAATTACTCAGCCAACTGATAGATTTGTGATAATATCCATTTAATTTCGATTTAAAATTGCATTCACACTTAATAAAATAATGACTGTTCACACAGGTAAGAGAAGACACATTTCATCATTTCATGCATCATTTTGTCATCATGTTCTGTGATGCTCGTCTCATGCAAACCCCCAAAACTGCCCTCTTTCACAGGATAAAATGTCAAAAAATGAGCTGGTGAGACGACATATTTCCATTATCATATGAAACCAGACCTTTTCGAGCTCTGTCCAGTCATAGTTGGTGTTGCCGATGACCATGGCTTGCAGTTCGTTTGGCTGGAACAGCTCTAGAACTTTTCCACCGCACACCTTGTGGAAGCCAGCGTAGAAGCACTCGAACAGTGGGGCCACTGATGTGTTGAAAATGTAGTCTACGTATGCACTGACGAAATCTTGCCTACAGAAAGAAAAAAAAACACTTGATAGAGAAGTAAAGTGATTTTTGTGAAGTCGTAACATGTAGAATGTTGTGGAAAGACAGCAATGTCACCAGATTTCCAAAACTGCGTTTTCAAGATGAGTTAAAACATGGTTAAAGGTTCTATTGATGTTCTTATCTAACTCTGGACAGGAAAAATCTGCAACTGGTAGACAGGACAACTAAAAAAATGTTACCTGTTTGATTTATTGACATTGATGTCTTCGCCGCCTGGTATTAGTTCCAAGACCTCTGTGGCACCATAGTTTTCCTCTGTGACCTGAAAAAATAGCCAGTGCTTAGATTTTGCTAATATGTAGATATCACAGCTATTTAATTTACACTTCATGCCCCACAAATACTGTTTTTTTTACTGTGAAGTTCAAGCAGAAGGTGTCCTCCAGGTCATCCTCTTCGTAGTCCAGTAACTGCTGCAGACTCCTAGTTCAAGAGGAAATAGAAATATATTTATTTTACATTATTTTCGTAAGCAGACATTTAGTAAACTCAATGAACACTCTCTGTGGTTATATAATTGAAGCATTCAAAGACTCAATTTAAGATGCAGTTAAGGAAATACCATGGTAAACTGACATTCATGAACATGTTAAATGGGAACCTCAGATGACTGTTCCTTGATCTGACCTTCCCACATCTGGCATTAGCTCTTTCAGGTCATCTAGTGTCGGCTTCCTCTTCAGGAGCTTCTTGTAAAGGGCCACGGGGAAGTTGAGCTCCACTATAGTGAGATTGTAGATGGCCAGACCACAGATGACCCCAATGAGGTTGAATAAGTCAATGTCCTCAAAAGTCTGCGAGGGACATGGCATTAACAGGTACCAATTCATAAAAGGACCACTTCAGTATCCCCGTTATTCAGGGTGTTTTAGAGTGCACTTAAACTCAGCCAGTCATATTTCAGTATCCCGAGCGTAAAAAAGGTGAATTATACAATAAGTACCTTGTTTGAAAACCAGATGAGCCTGGACTCCTCGTGGTAACGAAACATCCCATATTTTGGATCCAGCAGCTCTTTCATGATCAGGAGGAAGAACTCTTTTCTCACGCCTCCTGCATCGACTGCCTCTTCTCCCACAAAGATCACCTGCCATGGAGATTGCAAACGTTACAACAACGGCAGTACCTTTCATGTCTTCATCGAAATGGCAACACTTTAGAAGACTATTTCTGCCAGTGTGATGAAAAAGAAAGATCCTGTAAGTAATAACAATGAAAAACGTTCTCAAAATACTGAGTTAATATCTCAAAAAAAGACTTATCTCAAAATAATGTTGGTGTCGCTATCACAAAGACAACCAAATCGCTCTCCATTTTCCTCAGAGCTTAGCAACTACCAAAAAACAAAGTACAAACTACATTTTGTTTTCCACAGGTTCTTCAGTTGTTCCACCGTCCACCCTTTCTGCTACTAGGGACAGTAATGAAGCCAAGAGTTATGAGTTGTGCCGACAAGGTAGCAAAATAATAAAACAGAGGCGCCATAGTCTGAACTAAGACAGCAAACTCTATTGCTTTCCACATATCTGCAGCAGCGCATTACAGCGTCACGCCCTTCAGTTCCCACCTTTCACAATGAAAGCCCTATACACCGCATCACTGCTTATCAGAGGGAAGTTAAATTCACTCAGAGCATCTCACTGAGAGGAAACTTAACAAATAGCTTACAGATAGCTTACAGTAACTGCAAAGAACTTACATTGATACTCTTTGGTAAGTAAGGATAGCTACCGGGGAAAACAAAAGCACTACCCATTTCCCATTTTGGTTGCACAGCGGTTGATGCACTTCCTTTGTGCTGTAAACTGAGCCTTCATTTTCCCAGGAGATTATATCTGTTGCCAGACAGAATTGCAAAGTGAAAGCAAGGCTTATGAGGAACCAATCTAAACATGGTTGGTCTCCATATTACAATAGCCATTATGATGTGCAATCAACATTTACTTCAGAACGATAAGCTAAAGCAAAGAATTTCTCAATATCCACTTTAAGCAGCTGGTCACTTGGTCTGATGTGCTGAATTGTGCTGGCAGGTATCATCTAGTGGTTTTTAGAGCTTTTCTAATGGAAACAGCTGCTTCCTGCTATAAGACCGAACCATAACACCAAAACAACATGCTGAAAGATGCTGAAATGCTAAGGGGAATTCCAATGGAGTCATTACTATGAGCAACACCTTTAACATACACTGCAGTCATTTTCTCTATTATTAAAGGGATACTTCACCAATTTTCAACAAGCTTTGTATCATAACAATGTGGGCTGTACAGTATGTGTAAATGAACTATGGTAAACTTCCCTCCACCTTAACAACGCCAAGACTTCCCTGCTCATCTCTCAGAACACATCATCCCGTGGATTTTCACTTGCTGTAGGGCTGTAGCTTGAATAACAGATTGTGCTTAAGCATTTTTGTATGCCCACCACCACAGACCCAAAGAGTATAGAAGCAGATCGAGAGTGAGAGCCGTCCCCTCTCTCTCAAACTCAGACCAAACTCTGATCAAATAGTAAAACCAGGCAGTGTTGATCAAATATTACCAAGATTCTTTCACTCCATTGCCTATTTCTTGCCTAAAATGTTTTCAGAAACATAACTTAGCTTACTGGCCAAGCTGCATTACCTCACCCACCAGCGGGAGCTTTTATTGATCGGGGCATGACTCAGCACGTGCTGGTAGTTGAAAGTTTTCTGCGTCTTGAACAAAAGCGAGTGCCACAGACCTTTTCTCTGTTTTCTCTGCTGATGTAGCACCAATTTCAAAAGTATTTGCGTCTTTCTGCTGCACAGACAGCCCAGTTTTATGAAGAGACCATCTTTCCAGCAGTGAAATACCTCTTTAATAGAAAATATTGATTATAGCAGCTTTTACCTTGAGTGGTTTCTTGTAATCGACATTCTTAGACTTCCTGAGGACTTCCATGGTGTCTCCAACAATGTTTTCTCTCCGAACAATGAGGATGAGGCACGGGTTGACAGATTCCACCGCTGGCAGGAACATAGAGCTGAAGTTCTGCATCTGTGCTTGGTCCACTGCCATCTATCAATATAACAAGGCAATAATAAATGACTGACACATTACTATGTTTCAAAGGTGCAATAGTGCAGTTGGTATGTGTCACATCATTTGGCAGCAGTAGCTTTGAGCTCCTTATTACCTGCATCTGTATGACAGCATCAGTGTGAAGCAGTGTGGTCTTTGCTTGGGCATCAAATACAAAGGGATACCTGCATAGAGTCACCACACCGTCATGACCCTGAGGATACAAAGGATTAAACAAATGGTTCATACAGATTCCTAAACATGGACAAATGTAAGTGATCTGTAGAACTGACATAAACAGAAACTCACCATTGGGTACATCTGCCTCTGAATCCACGTGACGTAATCATTTCTGATGTCTATTAAGTCATCCAACTCATGGATGTAGAATTTATCGTACTGAATGATGTGTCCTGCTCTCTCACTCACCTACAAAAACAGGAAAAATTGATGTAATTCAAAGTTCTTCCAGGTACTGTGCGATGTACATGTGACAGCTGTTGTAACTCAAATCAATGGATTTCTGTCTTTTCTCACCGTGTGCAGGATCTCCAGTAGTCTGAGGGACGTGTCCAGGAAACAGGTGAAAATTCTCTGCTCTACCGAAGGAATGCCCATCTTGTGCATCTGAAGCAGATACACCACCACTTCCTTATACAACTCAACCAGCCGCTGGAAGACCTGGGACTCAAACGTAGACCACCAGTTTCCTAGTGCAAATACAAAACCAATACTATTGTGAAAAAAGGCAAAAAGCAGAAATTGTCAGAGGTATTGTTGCATTGTGTGCGGCATAAAGCATAAAAAACATCTTTCATCTTACCCAGCACCTTCAGTGGAGCCTCTTTCAAATTGAGGAGTGATTTGGCAAATGGGATAGAGATAGTCACATAATTATTTCGGTCACTGAAGAGAGGGCATTCTGGCAGAGTGAGGTAGAGTCTCAGGGCTTCAATGTCTGGAGGAGAGCTGCTTAGTCTGGGAATTAGGTTCTTTTCCAAACTGGCAGCGATCTGAGGGAGACAAAAGACAAGTACATAGGTCTGTTATGATTAATGTAATCATTCCTAACTGATGCATCTCCTGGCTCTCCTGCCCGTTTACAAAAAAAGGTGGGGCAAAGTGCAACAATGACATTTTCAGGATTTCATAGAACAATTAAAGCTGGTGCAGTAATAATGTGTAACTGAAGACAGTGTATATATCCTCATCTAAATGAAATCCAATTGTTTCCAGGCACCAAATCAAACTTACATGAGCATCTTACAAAAGGAAAATAGTGACAAGACCAGGTGAGCCCACGGTCATGAGTGAGGCCACGTATAGGCCCATCTGGGTCTCTTGCCTGTGAAATCCTTAAATAAAATAAAGTATGTGGGTATGGCGCACCAACAACAGGATTTTTTTTTGTGTGACCGCTGACCTGCTGAGCGATCTCAGGGTGATCTTGCTGAACCAGTCTGTGAAACAGGAGTCGGGCTGTGTTCATATCCACCCCTGAACATTTACTGCTGGTACTGTAGTGATCTGGATGACTGTATAAAAGAAACAGAGAGTTAACATGAGACAGTAGCCGTAGTATTCCTAAAAGTCAGTAGAGTACATCTAGGTTACTACCAAGTGGTAAGGATTTTTCAATTTCGACATGTATCAGTTCTAAATAGTGTGTGAAGAGGGATCAAATTAGTGAGGTAAATGCATAGAATTTTACAATAATGAATTAAGACTGTTGGACCAGATTGTAGATAAAAAGGACCTCATCTACAATGTGATTACCTCTTTGACAGAAAAGATCCATTGAGGCAGCTTGCTGAGGAGAACACGAGGTCAATCTCACTAAAGGACAAAACAAGTAATTAGTGTGACGACCTTTCAAAATCAAATCTCTAAAGAATTTACAGAAGCATGACAACTTGTCCAACAGAAAAAAATATGTCTACAATAACACAAAGTAACAATAACACCAAAAACAAGTGGCCTTGTGAGGAGAGGACTTTACTTGGCGATTTCTTGCGGGAGTCTTCCTGGTGAGTGGTTCAACCACTTGTCTATGATGTCCTGATTCAATGTATAAATCTTCCTGTGGGGATCTTGTATCCTCACGTCATCTATGTCCTGGAGTTTCTACAAAAACAAGTAAAAGTTAAAAAAATTAAAAAAAAAAAAAAATTAAAAGTGCAAAGTTATGTAAAATAAGCTAAAGGTCTAGTCTGTAGGGTTTTGTGGCATCTGGCAGTTAGGTTGCAGAACTGAAACGTCTCCCGTCTGCCAAGCGTGTAGGAGAACTAAAGAAGTAAATCCCCAACAACGCAAATGGCCCTATCCAGAGCCAGTGTTTGATTTGTCCATTCTGGGCTACTGTAGAAACAAGATGGCAGACTCTATGGAAAAAGACCCGCTCTGTATGTAGATATACACGGCTCATTCTAAGGTTATGAAAACACAACAATTCTTATTCTCAGGTGATAATAAACTAATGAAAACATAGTTATGAATATTACATTCAATTTCTGCCTATATATGCCCTTAATTCCTACACACTGGATCTTTAAGGAGGACTAATTTTAAAAATCACAGTAAAAAAAGTGCAATTTCTTTCAACCATTTAACATCTTAAGAAATTTAAGGTCTCTTATGTTTAAAATGAAATAAAACAAGCGCTACTTGAATCCACCCAAATCATGGCACAAAAAAGCAGGTGCTTCCTTGTATAAAGCCTTTACACACATGGCTATGATTAAAAACAAGACCAACATTTATTGACTGTGCAGGATCTGATGAAGCAGTCTCTTAATTTGAACAGGGAATTATCTTCCCTCTCCTGTATGTTACAGTTCTGCCATGTTAATTTGAAAATGTCCTATTATGGTTGTTAAAAAAATCCCATGCAGCCTTTTGTCACCAAATCAGGGGCTAACAAATGATGTTACTGCATGTTAGGGAGGTATTTCAGAAAACCTCACATTATGAAAAGCCCTTTTATTTATTACAACTTACATTGTTGGTGCAGTAGTGAGCAAAACTCTGGTCTCCTCCGGCATAAATCCTCTTGACACAACAGCCCTGTTCCGAGTCTGCAATGTTACGTAATGACAACAAGAGATAAATGTATGGACAGATGAGAGACTGGGATGACCCATAATTATACACAAGTTCATAGTGTCATCTTGAAGATCCATCATATTTTTGATATTAACATGGTATCAAGTGTGTTGTTGCTACTTCAGATTCCACCGAGTATCACAAACCAATGTGGTAGCTTTCTGCTCATAGGTTCTGGTTGACCAGTCTGTACGGTTCAGTCCCAATGTGTCTCACCAGCCGCAGTGTAGTGGCACTAGAAAGTTTGTGAACCCTTCAGAATTTCTGTATTTCTGCATAAATGTGATCAGATCTTCAGTTAAGTCCTAAACCTAGACAAAGAAGACCTAATTCAAGAAATAATACAGATATATATATATATATATGTACACATGTATATATATTAGGGCTGTAACGGTACATGTATTTGTGTCGAACCGTTCGGTACGCGACTTTCGGTTCAGCACGACCCTGTACCGAATTATTGGGCGCAGGATATTATTTTATTTTATTTTGTTTTATTTTAATTCCGTTTTTGCGAGCCGAACCATTTAAAATATCTAGTTCCCCAATGGACATAATTGAGTGACGGACCGAGTCCCGTAAATCAACGCTTTCACTTTGTGCAGGGCATTCTCGCATTTTGACAACATGGCAAGTGAGCCTGACGAACCTGAAGACCCACCCGCAAACCTTAAGTCTTCCGTTTGGGAACACTTTGGTTTCAGGGTAAAATACGAAGATGGAAATAAACAAGTTGACAAGACAAAAGCAGTGTGCCGACACAGCAGAACAGCGGTCGGGTATGTACTTGGAAACACGTCTAACATACAACGCATCTAAAGCGACACCACCTGAGTTTGAACGTTAACCGGCACGACTAGAAAAAGCAATCTGGTGCAAACTACGATATCGTCGTTGTTTAAAAAGAAAGAGCGTTTTCCTGACCATCGCGCTAAAGAAATAACCAACGCCATTGGAGTTGAGTAAAATTGTTTAAGCTGCACTTTAGATATAAGCATGTTTTGTTCACTGCGCTTTAACAAAGTGGGAAAGCTAAGTAAGTTCCTAGTAAAACTGAATCTGAGCAGGCTTTAAAGCTGACCAGCTGCGCTATACTTTTTATTTTTATTGAGTAAAACTGTTAAAGCAGAAATGTATATTTATATTTTTCATTCAAAAAATGTGTTAAAAAACAGCAGGATTTTATTTTTCACTTTTATATTTCTATTTTCATTCAAACAATGTGAAAAAGCAGGATTTTATATATATTTGTTTCATTCAAAAGTTGTGTCTGCTGTGGTGGTATGTTTTAATAAGGTTACCAACAAGTAAAAGATATTTAATAGTTGTCTATTTTTTTCATTACTGTACCGAAAAAACCGAACCGTGACTTGTGTACCGAGGTACGTACCGAA